TACATGCACTCACAGTAAATGCTTAGTTAATTAGTCATGTTTTAAACTGTAAAATAAATTCTTACTTTTATAAACTTGACTCTTTCTTAAAGTAACACGAAGTGTGGTTGATCACTGAAAAAGCAAAGAACCTAGATCTTCTGAATTAAATCCTAGAATCTTCTGAATAATTACAATAAAGAACCTAGCAGATTAATATTTTATATTCATATAGAATATTACATCTTCCTGGTCATAACAGATAAAATCATCAATTTGCCTCCGCTACAGCTGGTTTTACATTTGCTTCTCTTATGATACCATTTCTGACTTGCAGTTGTTTAATAAAACAATTCTCATCTTCAAATACCTGAGTGTATATGTAGACACTGCACTTTCACCATCTCATGCGGACTACATCTGTATGAAAGTCCAGCAGAGGATTTATTTTATATGAAGACTTGGGTCCTTTGGTGCCAACACCACAGTTCCCCACAGATTCTTCAGTGCCAGCATACTGAGCATCCTGCAGAATGGGAATCCAGTTTAGCTGTGCAACCTTCCTGCTCAGTCATCTGCTCCGAGGTCATGGGTCAATCCGTGGAGAGTTCTTTCTTCAGCGGTCAGTCCTTTGGACGATGATGACTGCAGGCTCACGTTTCACGTGGAGAGAACCAGCACCTTCCATCAGGAAAAAATGCTTGAGAGTACCTTAATGCAGAAGAACAATCATTATTTTATGTCACATTCAATGAATCTGCTCAGTCGGTAGCATTGAGCTGTTGGGAGGGTTGATTTTAATTAAAGGAGTTCTCGTTAATGTATAGAGGTCATTCTTGTGTTTTTATTTTTAATGTTTTTTATGATACAGCAAGACAATTTTCCATGTAAATGATTTAAAAAAATTATTTTAGCTTTATCATAATTACCTCAAAGATGCCTGCAAATAAACAGCATTATTGTTGTTGTTTCTATTACTGGCTTTTCTTGTAAAGAACATAATTCACAGTTTCTCCAGCTGCAGACCATCACACCACCACCACTGTAGACTCTTGGGAATCATTAACATTTTTTGGAGCCCTTGTGTTCTTTCTGGTCAACAAAGGGGTTTTCCTTAGCCTGGCAAGCCAGACTAAATAAAGGTATTATTTAGTCTGGCCATGCTCCATTGACGGCTCTCAGTTGTGGGGCGGGTTCTACCGTTGTCTTTCAAATGATCTCCGCATTCCACTGGACAATGAATGTGACATACTCTTGTTTCACTCTGTTGCATCATCCCACCCACCAGGCATATAGAGTGCCCTGATTGGCCCACAAAGCAGATAAAGCTCTGTGATTTGTTCACTAAGCAGATAGAGCACTATGATTGGCCCACCATTATGGACCAATCACAGCTCTTTATGTGTTTGAAACCCCTCTAGAGAGCTGTGATTGGCTAGCCAGAGTCCTGGTAGGAGCTGCGGAGGTTCCAATGGAGCATGCCTAGACCAAACTTAGCAAAGCAAGAATTTGGTCTAGTTCACTAGGCTATGTTTTCCTTGGATCTCTTGGAAATCCTCATGAAAGCTACATTTGTATTTACTTATTTATATCTGACTTTCAAACTTGTTTGATGATTTATAATGTTTAACTGTGGCAAAAAGCAAAAATGGAAAAACATCAGTTCAGGTGTTGGGACTTTTAAATACTCAATAGCACTTCCCACAAACATGCATAGTTGCCATCACTGTCATTTCACACATTGCACATCCATTTTGTGTTTGCATGTTTGAGTAAGTGGCAGTATGTGCAGATTTGGTTTTGTATTATTTATCATTTGTGAACCCTTCTGCACAGATGTGATGCTCATGAAGCCACTAAAGGGAAATGGGAGCTTCTTGAAAGGAATTCTGTTGGGCTACAAAAACAGACACAGTGTGCAGCGGTATCTCCACCCTAACTTTGTGAGTGCACTGCAGACAATGAAGAGCACAGTGGTAAAAATCTTTCATAGGAATTCAATCAGAGCAGAACACCGACTGAGGCTGCTGGTGCTCCCTGGATGGGATGAAAGTTGGCGGCACAAAGATCAAAGCCTTCATCACTTTCAGAGTCAGGAAGAGCCAGGAGGGCCGTCTGTCTCCGGATCAGCGTGATTAAAAGATGTGAGATTAAACGGGGGCTAAGACCAGACCAGGCTGACGAGCAAAACCTTCCACCGTTGGAGTCCATGACACCTGTTTACCTTAAAGATAACTGTGTGTCAAACAATCTGAGGGGAAATGTTTTGCTTCAGCCTTTCGGCAGATCCTGTGAAGCTTTTTGCTTAAATTGACATGACACATTTCCCAGAGGGGAGGCTGACCCTCCGCCGTTAAACAAGATGGCCTCCCACATGGAGAGGTATCACACATTTGTGATGGTTGGTACCTCGTGGAAGTTGCACCCAATGAAAATGTAGTATTTTTAATGTTTCCATGACTACGCCTTGGCTTGATTATCTTGTCTTTTGTTTTTACCATGTGAATAAAACATGCTTCTATACAGTCCCGTCAGCACGCCCTTGGTGAGCGTGTACCAATTAGTTCACATAAAATCATTAAATTTAGAGAAGCTTGTGTGTGTGCAACATAAAAAAAGCATTGAAAACAGATCAGGGACCGTTTATAAAGAAATTAAATAAATGCTGTAGTCTTATTTTGTCACTCAATGACAGATTTCACTTATTAGATTTGTGAGAAATGATTCAACATGATTTTATTTTTCATGACTAACTTGTAATTATGGCGTGATCCGTAACTAGAGCCGCCATGCCTCAGGACTGAGAGTTGGGGACAGAAATAGCTGAGAACTGGCAGAGGACTTGGACTGCCAGTCACTGACCAGTTTTCTTCAAACCCTCAGTGGAGAGAATTATTACTGAAAATAGCTTTCACTGTCACTCTGTCAGCACTCCAGACTTTTGTTATCTCAGACCGAAAACACTAACATATTCCTATCTGACATCATTTTCAGCAGATGAAAAGGAAAAGGCACACAACATAAGCTAATGAGAGCCTTCAGAACATCGTGCAGCAAAATTCTCGTCCTGTCTGACAAAGAAACTGTAGGACACTTATTATGCACACAAAAATGGGCCCGCTGAATTAATATATATTCAAATAATTTAATGGCTTCTGCTTTTACTGAGGCTTAGAGGGCTATATTTAGCTAATCCGCATCAACTGCAACTCAGACCAGGAATTCTGGTTAATTAGGTCTACTGCTGGGATTCAGGAAGAATTGCCTAATAATTGTAAATTCTCATATAAAATAAACATTAAATCAACCGTTGCAAGTCTTTAAGCCTAAACACAAGTTTGACAACCAAGTGAGCTGAATGAAATCAAATAGTTTTTTTTATCATTTTTTATTCGCCAGACTGGTCAGCTAAATGATCGCCAGATCAAACTGAAAGGATGCAAAAGAAAACAACTCTCCCATAAAGGTAATGTAACATAGAACAAAACATTTAATGTCAAAAGATTTGGAGGAAATAAAACGGAAATGTGACGATGGTAAACAGGAAACATCAAAAGACAAGATATGAAAGCCCTCTGCTCAAAAATGAGACATGAAAAACAAATTTAAAAAGTCCACAAAGTCAACATCTGTAAACAGACCAAGACATCAGCAGAAGGAGAAGACACTATTTCTACCAATAAATCACAAATGTGGACAAAAGATGATGCTGGAAACGACGAAATGAAGAGACCCTCTGAAGAAAGCCTGCCTATTCAGGTGGTTATGGATGATAGTTGTGTGTTGTGGCCTTACTTTAACATAAATATTGCCAAAAACGGCATTAGGGCTTTTTTCCTTGAGGAAATATCACAAGGCAAAACGGTAAATAGTCTCTTTAAAGGCACACTTGGTAGTTTTGCTTGCTTTTAGCACCCCCTAGTGTCCAATATTAATTATCTGTGGTCAAACTGAAAATGAAACGCATCTCCTTGCTGTGGGTTTGTCTTTTTAACACCTTAATCTGACAGCTGAAAGTCTCCTCAGCCTTCCATAGTGTCTACAGGACTAAAAACGTGCTGCAGCACCAGGCACGTCAGGTCAAATTTTCTAAATCCAACAGGATTTGCCACTCCCGACGTTGCAAATGTGATATTCTGGCCACAGGGAGCGGTGGGGGGTCTGAGTGACATTTTATTAACCCTGTTAAGGGTTGTTTTAACACATACAGGATAAAGTTGCATAGTGTGGCTTTAAGACTAAAAACTGTACTGCAGCATATAAGAATGCTTAATTTCTGATAGCAAAGATCCAGTTAAAGAAAAATTACTGGAACTGCCTAGAGAGCATATACTTGTCATGACTAAGCTTGTAGGCCACAGGAGCTGAAATAAACAGCCATCTTTTCATGATTTCATTTTTTCTAAATTAAGAAACGAGCTTTCCTCATTAATTACTTTAATAAATTTTCTGACGCCGTGTTCTAAAGTCAGAACATTTAGCAGTTCTAAAACTATATATTTGACCTATTGTGTAAATTAAGATTAGATGACTACATAAACATCACTGAAGACGAGCGACTCCATTCATCTCATCAGGGTTTGTAATTAAAATGTAAGCATCTAATTAGAAATGTAAACCTGGAGCGGTTTATCATAAAGAAACTTGAACAAATATTCATTTTTGGCCACATTTACTGAGGTCAAACTTATTATAGGAGCACTTTACATCTGGGAACAAAAGGTACTTTGCCATTAGAGGTGTGAGAAGTGTTAAGAGAAGATAAAAGGTCACAGAATCAAAGTTCAAATTACCTTCAGGGGATAATGAAGGCCTTTAACAGATGAAATGACATTACATCTAACTTAGGAAACATTTCAGTAAAAGAATCAGAACATCAAGAGGAAGAGCAGGTGGAAAATGTGCTGCTCAGTTTAAATACATGGCTTTAAATTAATGATGTGAAAAGTCGTGTAAATTATTCTAAGCCAACCGATCATTAAACCCTGAAAGAATGGATCAGAATATGAGACACACAACAGTACTAAAGCAAAGTTTATTAGAATAAACAAAGAAAACATCACAAAGACAAAATAGCTATAAATCTATCTTATACAGCATCATTACTCCAGACTTCAGTCATCAACTTCAAACCAGTCACACGGTGAGGATTTGCAGACCTTTATACTTAGCTGTAAGTGTCACAAATATCCCGGAGAGTGGTTTAGATGAAAGAAGATCTTATTTATATTCTCACACACACAGACCAGGATCTCTACTTTGGTCTTTCTGTAGTCCAACAGGTTGCACTTTGCCTACAGACTTGTTTAAATCCAGAGCGCTACTCATTATGTAGCACCTTCAGGGTCTGGACAGATGAAAACTCACTGAGGTCTGAAGGATGAACACGCTCTTTATAATTATTTACACATTTGTAAAGCCCAAAAATGTGTGTGATTTTTTTTATTCCCTCCCACTGCTTTTCCTCAGGGCTGTCCTCTCGCTCAGCAGGGATCTAATTGTTGAGCAGAACTAGTGGATCCTCGTCAGCTCCTCCACAATCTTAATCACCTCGTCCACTGTGGCTTCACGCTTCATGCCGCTGCCGTCATCGATCTGAAATTGAACAACATCAAGCAGTGAACCTCCTTTGTTAAGAAAACCCCCACCAGCGACACTGACACCAGCAGATGACAAATGAACAGAAACGTGTACAAGAAAAGGGCTCGTGTGATTTATAATGAAACAGGAGTTCATGTGGGCTTGTTGTTGGATTAAAACACACTTTAAAAAAAAAGACATCTTTAAACTAGTCTCCTCTAAACCCTAAAATACTGCCACGGTCAAAAGGTTTTATGATTGAATTTTGAATGTTTTAAAAGATGGATAACATGAACAGAAATTTATTGAAAAGTTCCTATTTTCCATGAAAGTAAAAACTAGGGATGCACCGATACCAATAAGTTAACCGATACCAATGCAGCTGCCTGAAAGTGGATTCACTGTAACTTGTCATTTATGTTCACCTAATATTTTAGTTTTGTGATAATTTCTATTAATATATATTTTTTATCTACCTCACAGTCTTTTCCTGTTGAAAGCAGAGAATAAAATAAAACCTGTATTCCAATTCAATGCATTTTTTTTGTGTGGGAGAAGTATCGATAATCGGTATCGGTGAGTACTCAGATCCAAGTATCGTTATCGTATTGGTTTGGAAAAAAGTGTTATCGGTGCATCCCTAGTAACCCAACACCCCCCCCCCCCCCCCCAAATGTCTACAGCATTAGTGAAGAGGGCACAAGGTGCCAAAGAAAGTCCAGCAAGCCCCAGGACCATCTCGTAACAATGATCCAGCAGTGAGGAACGGCACTACCAGAGATAGCTAAAAGGTCAGGGGAGTAGACTCCCTAACCATTTAGCCTTGGCACACACAAGTGAATAAAGAAGGGTACCTAAACACCCTCCCAGAGCAACTCCTCCCAACCACCAGAGAACAGGTTAGTCATGAACAATGAAGTTTCCAGTATGATGCAGTGACCTGCCATAAGGCTGAAGTCAGAACTGACTCAGGAAACAAAAGATTCAAATACTGGATCTATGTCTAATTAACTCCCGCCTTGGTCTGCCACCCGATTCACATTGCACCGGACCCTTCATGTTCCTCCTGCGGGTGGTGAGTCCACAGTTGGACGAGCCCATGTATCCGGTTCGGGCTGGGCCCGGCCGGGCCCCATGGGCGAAAGCCCGGCCACCAGGCGCTCGCTCACGGGCCCCAACCCCAGGCCTGGCTCCAGGGTGGGACCCCGGTAACCCTCCGGGCCGGGTACTCCGACTCTTCGTTTTCACCGCCATGAAAGATCCTTCGAACCGTTCTTTGTCTCACCCTTCACCTAAGACCAATTTGTCATGGGAGACCCTACCAGGGGCACTAAGTGCCCCAGACAACATAGCTCCTAGGATCATTAGGGCACTCAAACTCCTCCACCACGATAAGGTGACGGTTCAAGGGTGATGGAGGGGGCATGGGAGTTTGCCCAACCAATCCACATGTGCTTTGTGGATTTGGAGAAGGCTTATGACCGTGTCCCCAGGGGCACCCTGTGGGGGACGCTCCAGGAGTATGGGGTGGGTGGCTTTCTGTTAAGGGCCATTCAGTCCCTTTACAAGAGGAGCGTGAGTTTGGTCCGCATAGCCGGTAGTAAGTCGGACCTGTTCCCAGTGAGGGTTGGACTCCGCCAGGGCTGCCCTTTGTCACCGGTTCTGTTCATCACTTTTATGGACAGAATTTCTAGACGCAGCCGTGGTGTGGAGTGTGTCGAGTTTGGTGGCAGGAGAATCTCGTCTCTGCTTTTTGCGGATGATGTGGTCCTCCTAGCTTCATCCAGCTCTGACCTTCAGCTCTTGCTGGGTAGGTTCGCGGCCGAATGTGAAGCGGCTGGGATGAGGATCAGCACCTCCAAATCTGAGACCATGGTTCTCGACCGGAAAAGGGTGGCTTGCCACCTCCGGGTCGGGGGAGAGGTCCTACCTCAAGTGGAGGAGTTTAAGTATCTCGGGGTCTTGTTCACGAGTGAGGGTAGGAGGGATCGGGAGATCGACAGGCGGATTGGTTCGGCGTCTGCAGTGATGCGGACGCTGAGCCGATCTGTCGTGGGGAAGAGGGAGCTGAGCCAGAAAGCCAGGCTCTCGATTTACCGGTCGATCTACGTCCCAATCCTCACCTATGGTCATGAGCTTTGGGTAATGACCGAAAGAACGAGATCGCGGATACAAGCGGCCGAAATGAGTTTCCTCCGTAGGGTGGCCGGGCTCAGCCTTAGAGATAGGGTGAGGAGCTCGGACATTCGGGAGGGACTCGGAGTAGAACCGCTGCTCCTCCGGATCGAAAGGAGCCAGTTGAGGTGGTTTGGGCATCTGGTCAGGATGCCTCCTGGACGCCTCCCCGGGGAGGTGTTTCGGGCATGTCCTGCCGGCAGAAGGCCCCCGGGTCGACCCAGGACACGTTGGAGAAGTTACATCTCCAATCTGGTCCGGGAACGCCTTGGGGTCCTGCCGGAGGAGCTGGTGGACAAGGCCGGGGAGAGGACGGCCTGGAGCTCCCTAGTTGGGATGCTGCCCCCGCGACCCGGACCCGGATAAGCGGAGGAAGACGACGACGATATTCAACCCGCTGAAAATTTGTGGTGAATCCTCAAACGGAGAATAGATAATAAAAACCCGCAAATTCTGTCTAAGATCAAGCACTGATTACACGAGAACGGACGGCCATCAGTCAGAATGCCAAAGAACGTTCAATAATACTGAATTTCTGCATAATAAAAGCCATTGAAATGTAAAAAATGCCAACAATTTTACATCAACAGTGAAAACTATCATTTATGTCCTTCTGAAAACTCCAGGCCATGGCTGCATGCACCAGTATTAATTTATACCCAGCTGCAGATAAAGTATAGAATATTTTAATTTGTGCATAGTTTTGGCGTTTTATGCGATCATCTGTGTTAGTGCTAAAGATTTTTATGATTTTATTACTCTAGTTTTAGCAAAATCACAAATGTCCTGGAAGAGAAACTACTGAATATTTTGGATAATCTTAATCAGTTGTTTAAAGAACTGACTGAGATACAAGTTTCTTTGTTTTTATGTAAAAGGAAGTAGAGCAGCGCAAAGCCAGAGCATGGTTTGTTTAGCTGCCAAAACAATTTTCCTTTACCCATCACGTGAAACTTGTTTTCTCACCAGAGTGCGGTGTTGGGGCTCCACTTTTATTACAAGTTCATCAAATAAACTTTAATAATTTCAGCCATTATGAATTATATTCATCTGAGCCAATTAAAACGCACCATTACTGAAAGTCATCAATACAGAAATTGAAAACAAATCCTGTTCCTGCTGCTACTCTGACTCAAAATGGGAATGATAAAAAAGCTTAACTCAGTTATTCATTACAACTCAATGGACTTTGGTGACGAGGAAATTCTCAAGTCCAATTTAGTTGACAATTCATAAAAAAAGGCACCAGTGAGGAAAAAGACCAAACTCTCCAGAGGAATCACACTTCAGACTCTGAAAGTGAGCAAGAATGGAAAATAACTGGAAAATTTTCCAAATCCAATTTAGAAAAAAATCATGTTCTCTCTCATGACTTAAGGGATTGGGTCAACAGACTATTTGAGTCCAGAGAGCTCTGTGTTCACCTGATGCTGGTGCAGAAAATAGTCAAAACCACTCAGGAATCAGCCTCCAACCTTTTGCTACTCCTGCTTGGTTTAAAAGCAACACGAGAAAGAAAAATAGCAATTGAAAAAGTATATAAATACAAATCTGTTTTGTGACCAACTCAGTGAGTCAATCCGATAAACAACCCTGGAGCACAGACTTTTATCTGTTTCACAGAAAAAATAAAAAAAGGGACTTCTGGTTATCTATAGAAAATACATTTTTGATCTGTCACGTCAAATAAAAATGAGAAAATTATTTAGATCAAATTTAGAAAAAGGAACAGACGACAGCACCCCTACGACAAACATTAACCATAAAGATTTCAGAAAGTCTCTGAGGGTTTTTTTTTAGCCAAGAAACAGGCAAGATGTGAAATGCAAGAGGAAGCTGTGATGATCTGAGGGTATTTTTATGTGATCTGCTGGAAGCGTCTGTACATAAGAGACTGGCGGTTTGCCCTGAGCTGAATGGGCATGTCCAAAACTAGAGCATCCACACCAACAGGGTGTTGGTTCTGATGGATTTATGTTAAAGGGATATTTTATGGAGGTAGTTACACCTAAAGAAATGCTAAAAGTCTAAAAGAGATGTGTTTAGAAGCTAGTGTTTAACCACTAGACATCTACATGGTTAAACAAGCACTGGAGTTAGATCGAACCTTTGATGTCCTCCACTCAAAGGAGAAGCAGATCAGGAACATGAGCTCCTACCTGCAGCGTGCTGACCACTTCCTGCATTTTTGCCCGGCTGAGATCCAGGAAGCTTTCGATCAGGTCCCCGTCGATGAACCCTGTGACCTGCTCCGTCTTTCGTTCCGTGTGGAAGGACCTCCAGGTGTCGCTCAGTCAAGGGAATTAACAAAATAAAACATCTGCACAGGGTGGTTTGTCTGAGGGTGGCCTCATGGGCACAGCAATGCAAACTTCACCTCAGGCAGTCAACAAATATCCATCATGATGCAAAGATGTGCTCAGAAGACCTGACAGCAGGTAATCACTGTTAACCTTTTTATTAAAGCTGAGTGTAAACATCAGGTTTAACAAGCTTTTACTGTTCTAAACAAAGGTTTTATTTTAAATCTCAAGTTAAAATTGAAAGGGAACATTAGAAAAAGTAAAAAAACGATAGAAAATGAACATTTGGGTTTGTCTGATATATTGTATTACAAATAATCTGGTGCCTCATTTATCAAGCTTGCTTACACAAAAAACGGGGTCGGAAAACTGCGTAAGCAACTTTCCACGCAAAGTTTGGGATTTATGAAAGAAAACTTAGCGGAAAAATGTGCGCAACTTTAAGTTGACTAAGGACCTGGCTTACACACATTTTGGACATGGAGAGCACCTGCAGTGCTGCTGCTGAGAAGGATACTATTATGAAATCCTGCAGCATTATCACTTGTACCGCTTCGTGCACAGAACAAGACCCCCCCCACACACACACACAGCCTGAGGCGCAGAATATGGAATGCAGAATATCAGCAGGGGGACAGATTGAGACAGAATGTCATGCGTCTGTGACAGTGTGTGTGTCCTGTCACTGTGATCCAATGGATCATGCGCCCTGGCTACTTGTACAGGGGAGACCTCCCTTTGGGTGAATGGTTAGCTTGACTTTTACCTGGGAGTCTGGGGATCGAATCCTGATTGGATAATTATTTTTATATCCGCCACAGATCTCTCTGAAGAGTTCACAACATTGACGGCTTCAGCAACGCTGTGCCACTCCGTGGATTTTCTCTTATTTGCTCTGCAAAAGCACTTCCTTTCATTTCTCCACCTCACCCACAGGTACCTCAATTTCTGCTTCTGTGAAATTGCACTTCCTTGATCTGCCTTGATCTACGGTCGCCATGTCATTGGCGGAGTGCTGCAACAGCCAGCTTATGTATATGCATGAGATCCACAAGGCACTTTGCATTGACTATTTATGGTAGTAAGTGGGCGTGGTGAGGGCGGGATGGGACTAAAATGCAGCTGAGAAACATTCTTGTTAGTCTCTGATTTATGAAGCGGAGATTGGGTGCAGCTGTGCGTACTCCATGTTTGATAGATCACAAACCTACTTGGCGTAACTAAAGTTTTTTTGCTGAGCTTAAGTACGGTTTTAGTAAGGATTCTATGCGATGTTTGAGACCCCAGGCCTTTAACACTTATTATCTTCTGTTTAACGATAAGTATGCTAACATCAGAGACAAACGCCACAAGTGTTTGCCCGAAGCTTAAAAACATTTAATTAACAATAAGATGCACATCAAAAAATCTGCTGGAAAGGGTACTGGGCCTCAAAAAAATAGCCAACAAGGAAAATTACTGAATCGGGCCACATACTAATGCTCTTGTACTAAGCCTCGTTTTTTTCTGTGAATTAAAAAGGAAGAGCTAAAGCTTTTTGAGTACTTCACTCTTTTGGTAGTACAACCATTTGCTTCTTTACGGGTGAAACTGAGTTTTTGGGACATCATGAAGTGTTTCTGTGTTAATCACAATCTTACTCGTAAATAATTCCCTGAATGGCCTCAGTTCAAAGAAATGGTTGTTGTTTGATAGGACAAAGTTAGCCACTAAACTCACCGCAGCAAAAATCAAAGGGTCTTAAAACAGCTCCAACGTTTGAATAATGACTTTCAGGGTTCGGGTTTCACACCAAAATCAGCTGACCAACAGATATGATGGCTCAAGCCACTGTCTCCATACAAGTTTAGCCCCGTCAGGACTTGTCACTAATCTGCACAAAAAGGCCACCAAGGCCATTAATAACATTAAAGATCGAATTCTGTCAAAGTACGGCATGAATATATTCAGGGAGTGGGGAGAGAGCAGCTGTGAAATGTGGCGTTTAATGACCAGAACTAAGCGCTGTTGAGCCCAATTTATGCTTCTCCATCAGCTCCGCGAGGGAAAGACTCACGCATTGACAGAGACACTTTGCTTTCGGACGTCTCCGTCACCTAAGGAGTGTTACAAAGCAATTCCCCACAAGGACAACAGAGGGCGTAGCGATTTATTGTGGTATCCTGCCACCATAACACTCATATATCTAGTCCATGATAGAATATTTATAGACTTTATAATATGGAAACATCCTGCACTTCTTCATGCGGTCGCCACCTCTAAACCCACGTTTACCGTTGTTTCCACGAATAAAATGTTTGCTCTGCCTTCAGTCACGGGTGAAAAAACGTTCATATTTTCTGACTTTTTATGCAATGCGTTCTTCAATGCGGTTCCGTGTCTGCCGCAAAATATTTATTTACTTTTGGGCGGGGCAATGACGGTGCTGTTGACGAATTTTAAAAAAGCAGCATCCTGACTAATCACAAGCCTACGTCCTTTCGACGAATGTTTTAGGCATGTCTCCGCCACCCTCTCTGAGCCTCTCGGAGAGTTCTTGCACCGACCCGACGCAGACGGAGAAGTAGAAATCAAGCTTTAACCACAGCGTTTGGGGGGGGGGCACATTTTTTGGTGTTCAGAAACAGCGATTTTAAAGCTGCGTCAGTGCTGCTCTGCTTCACAAGCAACTCTTCGCACTTCACAAATGCCTGTTTGGCAATGTATTCTGATGTAATTTCCACCTGAGTAACAACATTCAGCGTGAGTTAACTAGTCCCGCCCAGCAACTGTACCAGAACAATGGTTGCAAAGCTCTGAAATTACCCTGAAGTTCTGAGATTTTATATATATATATATATATATATATATATATATATATATATATATATATATATATGTATATATATATATATATATATATATATATGTATGTATATATATATATATATATATATATATATATATATATATATATATATATATATATATATATATATATATATAGCAATATTAATATCGTAGATCTTATTTGGCCCAAACGTTCATATTGGTTCATCTCTTGTACAAAACATAAAAACTCAATAAAAATCTGATATGTAAACAGCTTGTTGGTCTGAAATAGAACGCTGCGTGCATTTGGTCATGAAGTACCTCTTTTTTGTTTTGTTAAATTAATTATTAACTTGCCTTATGGAGGTGGAGTTGAACATGGGGGCTGTGGGGGTGGGATTTAAATATATCCCTGTGAATGTCTCTACTAATAATGCTCAATTTTGCAGTGCTGTTGGTCAAATGCTAATAAACAGTCACAAGATTTCATGTAAAAACAGTGTAATGCAACACAGACGACAGAGTGCAGATTATTGCAATAACGTAGCATGAACCCCTATTATATTTAGACATTATGCAGGTCAAGCAGCATAACTGAAGATGGGGCATTTGACATGTACTGCAGGAAAACTAGCCAAAGACCTTCCAGCTGGAGGAGGAACACCCGACTGCTATTAGTTCAAACAAATCATGATGAGCTCACAGAGAAATGCTTACAAATGACTCAATCATGAAACTTTTATCTAGAACCTTCAAAGCCAATTAAACGCATCGTTATTGTTTTGTCACTCTATCAGAGTTTGCTGCCAACAAGATGGCTGCACCTGTCAGTGCAGGTCACCTGATTTGCTGTCACAGATGGTGAGTGCACGTGTGAATGTGAAAAGGATATAAGCTGTGTTCAATCTTGCCCACGCTCTTGATGACCTTGGTGAGGCGGTTCTGCAGGTCGAGCAGGAGGCTGTACCAGCCCTCGGACAGGGATGTCACCAGACCTATGACAGACACACACACACACACACACACACACACACACACACACACACACACACACACACACACACACACACGTTTTATTCAGGTGTAAAACATCGGTCTTACAACAGCAGATGGTTAATACTCCTAATATCAGCAAGAAGAGATTAAGATGCTGATGTCTGGATTTATTCTCAACTAAAGAGAAAATTCTAAATTAATAATTTTAAAGTCCATGAAGCTCCATTCTTTTATGCAGAGACTTCATTCAAATCAAAACAGATTTATTAATCAATTATTTAAAACAAACTATTTTGGGTAAATTTGTAAAACTCTTTCAACCACACAGTTTAGGGGGAGTATCATATGTTCCTGTTGTAACGTCCAGCAATGGCCAGTTTTTAGGTACAGTTTGACCGTTCAACATCTGGTCAAAAAGGAGGCACGAGACTGCATGTGTCCCCTTTAAATCAGCCTGCTTCCATCCCACCAGCTGGAGCCCAGAGCCTGCAGCTCTGAACACGGATAACGAATTGTCAACAATAATGTTCTCTCCTCAAGGTCCCATCTTTCAGGATTCTTCATGCCTCCACATAAGGAACACTCGCAGCCCGGATCAGTTGCTAGATCAAAGAATGATTTTCTAAATCAGATATGAACTTCTACAACTTATAAGCTAGATAATCATTAAATAAATGTTTGTTTATTGCTACTTATAATAATTATAATATAATGAAATGTTTCATTAATCTGTGCTCAATGATTGAAGTTTGAAATGAATGTTATGTTTTGATTACAGTGATTGAAATATGTTTCAGAATGTTTATATGACAAGGTCATCACCACTTGCACTCACTCAAGGACAAAGTAACGTTAAGTTAAACTCAACACACATAAATAGCCCTTTACCCCAGATCAGAGCATCTGGTATCAAGGAAGGCGTGTTTCAGAGATTCTTGGTAATATTCCTCAAACTTGTCAACCTCTGGTTGGCTACACAAATCATAACATGAGAACATTAAAACCAGATCACTCTGGTTTTTCCTCAGTTCTAGAGAAAGACTCAGACCGGCCATCTGAAGCAAAACCCTCTTTAACCCATCAAAGCTTTTGACACGTCGTCAAAACCTTTCAGATGCGCGGTTCCATCCATCTGTCGTGACCCAAGACATCTCTGGACTGAAGAGTCGGTGCCACGGTATTCTACAGCCCTCCTGTGCCGAGGTTATACGACCTCTCTGACCTTCGGATCCACCAAGAGGGTCTCCGAAAAGGGTGAAGTAGACACACAGATAGCGTCTGATGTGTTTTTGATAATAATCAACTTCATAGCTTAATGCAAACCAAATTCTTTTACATCCAGAACTCAGCTCTCCTAGATCCAGAAGTTCTGATAACACCGCATTCACACATACGTTTTATACATCACATCTAGTTCCATCCATCACAGTAAAATGTTAGTTAAGTTGTCATGTTTTAAAGGTTGGTAAAATAAATTCTTACGTTTATAAACCTGACTCTTTTCTGAATCAAAACGAAGTGTGTACAGTCCCCGAATAAATAAAGAATCCTAGAATCTTCTGATAAACACACAAAGACCAAGCAGGGTTGATGTTCTATATTTAGATTGAGTATCACAGCTTATTGGTCATAAGTAGAGGTAATATATATATATTGAGCTCTTAAAGTACTCAATTTTCCAAACCCTACACTGTGAGGGAGAAAATTACAGTTCTTATAGAAGTAATTTTTATTAAAACAAACTGATGACGCACACGAACAAACAGGGTTTCTGAGCAAACACTATTTCCACTAATTTGTGATGCAGAGTTTGTTTTTCTGCATATGGAGCTAGGAAAGTGTTTTGGGACAAACTCTCACCAGAAGTCTGAGCTGCAGCCAACAATTACCATAAATTAGACAATTTTTCTGTTCATTCCTTGTGTGTATTTTTAGTGTATGCATTTTTTCCTCTTAATTCTCTTACTTGTTTTACGGAAGCTAATATTTAATTAACCTGCATTCATTTATTTTCCTAATTTAATTGTTGTATTATTCATTTTACTCTGCTCATTATAATCCTCTTTTCCACAATCAAGGCTACTTAAATTTATAAAAGGTTACAGAAAAAACATAAAATTAAAGTATTTCCATGCAGGTTTTAGTACTTGGCTGAAGAGATTCATGAGTTTTCTACATCCCTCGTATTCATTAGAGGCTTAGCACTCCCAGAGTTAAGCTGTCATTAAACCCTCTAATGACATGTGAGTGGGGAAGTTGACCTGAACAGCTGTTTGTCTTCATGCGTCCCAGCCGTGGATGAAAACAAGCATCAATCTCTTGCCTGGAAGTTCAGGCAAGTTTGATTAAAACTTAGCGGCTCTCTGTGACATAATTGATCTGATTTCCACTTAAATGCAATAAATCCACCTGAGTAATTGGATATAAAACCATGTTTGGTATCAGAATGACAAAATGTTACATTTGAGCATCAACATCGCAACTTAAGTGTGAGCGATAGCGCAGGTCCTGTTGCCATGTCTGGCTCATCTAATGTTGAGTGAACCCGACACGCAGCGATCCACCAATCACAATCGTTATTACACAGATGGTGGAAGCAGACAACGTGCTGCTGCTTATGTGGGATTTTGTTGTTTTTCACACCTCATTGGCTATTTTATGCCTCAAACATTAAACTGCACCAGCTGGTTTGGGCTACACACACGAGAACAGGGGGCAGCACTTTAGACCTATTAGCCAATAGTTGAAGATTTTTTTCCCTCAACGATTAAATTTGTTTTTAGCGCCCTATTTTGTAGGATTGTGTGAGTAAGACAAACTATTTTATTAGAATATAATAACTGGACCGTTGCAGAGGCAAACGCTAGTTTTCATTCAAGATAACGATGATGAGGCTTTGATCAGTGCATTGGTTATTATTTTGCATTTCCAAGTGGTTAGACATAAGTGTTTACTGTCTACAGTTGTGATTGAACAATGTGGCAAGAAAATGCTGATTCGACCCGAGATAGTGTTATATACTAGGGCTGGACGATATAGAAAAAAAGCATATTGATTTAAAAAAATCATATTGAATGATAATTATTGATGATTATAAAAAATGTAGAAAATATATTTTAAGTGCAGCCCTGGCCATTTGATGTCATTAATTTATGATAAAACAAGTTGGTTGTGTTACCAAACTTGATTTTTTTAGTCAATTCTCTGCCAGTGTTGTCTTTTTGTCCGACTTGTAAAAACCAACATATCGTGGAGCTGGTGAACTACAGCAACCTTTTTATGGGACAATTTCCTCCACCACTCCTTGCTGCTACATTTTGCTGCCTGTTTGGGTTAGAGAGGGTAGGGCTTGGTGACAAAACGTGCCTGAGTCTGTGTTTTTGATTGGCTGGGAATAAGTATGGACTCTAGTATTAAGTTGCCCGATAGGCTAAAATAGAAAAAAATAAAGAGACTATATTGAAGTCTTTCTTGACCCATTTTATTCTATCGTGCCATACATCCATATATATATATATATATATATATATATATATATATATATATATATATATATATATATCTTTATTGAATTTTTGTCCAGCCCTATTATACACCTCCCACAGTAAAACGCCAACAGTTCAAGAGACAACCAGATGGCAGGAGTACAGAATAACATGGAATTCATTTGTTGAAAATTCCTGTATTTAAAATATTATATAATATAATATAAATCGCTGGGTTAAAAAATACCTCGCATCAGATTTTTTCAGCATCGCAAAATGTACTTTGCGGCAATTAGCCACTTTTATAGTGGACAGGTGCCACTCGTTTTGGGTGCATCCCAGAAGCAGTTGCTTGCGCTTCGAGTCAACTTTCTACGTGCTACACTTCCAGAACACGTCAGATCGAGTCAGACAGGAGGTCAAACATGCAAGCAGTGTAAAACATCCAGAAACTATCAAAATAAAAGCCACATGCAAATTTCTCATTGCGTGTCTAGTAAAGAAAGTACATCATTTCCTGTGAAACCTCCATAGTTGGGACAAACGGAACAGGAAATAAACCACAGACCATGCGTGGTGTTGCAATTCTCGTGTGATTTAGTAATTTTTCTAATGAGATTAAACTGTCAAGCACAAGTCGGCCTTTTCTTAGATAACTACAAAAGTGGTTTTGATCATTTTTTATGTGAGACAATCTAAAAACAGACCCAGAAGTCTCTCCATTTTGTCCACTTGTTGGTTGCTTTTTGAGTTGACTAATTCTTGCAGCTTTTCCCTAGGACCGTATCATACATCACTGCATCCCGCCAGGCGGTAAGACCAGCAGTAGTATTTATCTTCATTACATGCTTGGAGCTCATTCTGGTTTACGAGCTACAGCGGAAAGTTTTCACAGGAAAATATGATTCTGGATCTCATTTCCTGTAAAACTTTCTTCTGATTCTTTAAGGATCACAGAAGGTGCTGAGGTGAAATAAACGAAGAGCGCTCCCTGCTTCTCATCTCAAACATCATTACTGCCTGACTCAAAGTTACTCGTTTCCATTCCAGTAATGAGGGCTGAAAACGGGATTGCTTCATTTTCTGTTATTGTCTGGAATGTAAATGTTAGCTTTAATGAAGGAGATGAGACGGATCTTTGGATATTACACATTTGTTCTCCCTCATTTTCTTAAGATCAAAATTCTCACAAACATCAACAAATTTAGCTTTTTTTTTGTTGTTAAGACCGTGGTTTGAAGTATTTGGCAGAACCGCTTGTGAGTGGCTTTTGTGCTGTCACTGAGAAATATGTTCCTGGAAAATAAAACTGTTCACAGAGATGTTTGGGATTTATTCTGAGCAGCACGAGGTTCTCAGAAGACAAAGCACCCAGGGTCACAGTGGCAAAGCCTGAATTCTGCTCGTCTCCGCTGGATCAATCAAACGTCTCTACAGTGGATATCACAAATAAATCAACAACTGACAGGAGGACATTTCTAAGAATTAGGGAGAGGAAAATAGATGATTTAGAGTCAGGCTTCACCGCAGAGAGGGACTGATATGCATTTTGATGCAGATCACATTTCAGTGGGTAAAATCAGGGAAAAGGGTGGGAAACAGAGCTAATTACACAGCTAAATAGTCTGTATGAAAGGGAGAGCTGACATTATAAGGGTGCAACACTGTGATGACACTTGATGTGTGCATGTGTGTGTGACTGTGCACACAAGGGCTTTTAAAGCAGAGCACAATCAGCCAATGACCCTTTTTACAGCGATACAGCTTGAGATAATGGTTGCTGGTTGCAAAGACTGAGATCAAAGAACTCCTCGTCCTTCTGCATAAGTGCAGAACTGAAAAAGATCTAACCGCTCAGTTCACGTGCCGCTGATTTAAAAATGAAAGCATGCAGGACATTTCCGACCCCTGTGTCAAACCTCTCACTAAATAGACACTAGTGGCTTATTCCAGACGCCTCCTCTGATTTCCAAACGTCGTAGCGCTGTGTGAAAGCACACACCAGGGCAAGGTTAGGCATGCTTGTTTGGTTCATTGTGAATAAGCAGAGACGACCTAAAAGAGAGAGTTGGCTTTGAGACCACATGTTGCAACTGCTGTGTAAAAAGGGTCATTTCTGCAAAGCTTCTGTGGAAAGAGTCCTTCAGATATCAGTAAACCTTTTGGAATTTTTAGAGTAAACCATTAATTTTCTTGAGTTCTGCACCCTTTTTCTATCATTTGCTCTGTTTTTGATCATTTCCTCTGCAGAGCAGCTGGAATCTCACAAGTTTCGCCAGCTGTTAATAGTGAGAGAATGCAACTTCGACTCTTCAGTGCAGACATTCATCTATCCATTAATTGGCTTTGGTTTCAGCACTAAGTTGGTCTGATTAGCTGCAGTTTGTTTGTGAGAGTGACAAACAGATGCTTCATTCAGTCCTCTGCTAATTATGTTGTGAACCAGCCTGAGCCGTTCCAAATAGTTCCTACAGGGGACTTCTCACATAATTCTGTCGAACAAACCATCGTCAGACTGAAAAAGAGTCTGATAATCCTAACTCTGATGTTTGCAGCAGTCAAAAAAACATGCAGATAAAAGAACTAACCAAAAACCAACTAAATCATTTTAATTAAAACATCAAATGGTATTTTTTGTAACAAGAAGGATATGCAATTTTGAAAAGGTGTGTGTTTAATTAATTCATTATTTACATTAAAAAAATGTGAACATCTTATTAGGATTTTATATGATGCAATTATATTTTATGTTTCCTACAGACGAGTGGAAGTGAATGTCAAAGGTGCTGGTTTGTGTCTTTTTTAGCACCATTTTCCCTTTTCCATCAATTATTTGCAACCCGTGATGAATGTCCTCTCATCAGCAGAAAAAGCAAGTAGAAACATTCACAAATGCTTGTATTTGTTGAAGCTTTAATTCTCTAAACTAAATGTTCTTAGCCTTCTCTTTATGTGAGGACAAATGCTTGTTTGAGTGTGAAATTGTGCGTACCAATCATGCCGTTAACGGTGCCAAAAAGCACGGAGCCCTGGGTGGGAGTGGAGCTCTCCCCGAGGTTCTGCAGCACCAGCGAGCCGTGGCAGAAAACATTTACAAACTCTCCGAGGTGGAAGACCCCCACCTCCTGCAGGTGCTGCCGCTCCTCGTCGGTGGTGGCCGCGCTAATCACAGCGAGGATGGTAGGAGAAAAATAAAAAAGAGGAGCGTGAAAACAAAACAATGTCAAAGGCAAAATTGCAAATAGTTGGAGGTAAGACTATCGATTAATCAGATAAAAAACAAGAGGGGCAGAGACACGAGAAATGCAGCAAAAAGGTCAGAGAATGACAGAGAGGTAATGGATAAAAGGTTGGGAAAGAGTGAAAAGAGCAACAGGAACAAAGATGTGATGCAAAAATAAAGGTCAAAAGCTTTGAGAGGTCCAAAGTGACGTATTAGACGGATAATGAGTGAAGGCATAAATGTAACACAAGCACTTTCAGACTACATCTTTCTTCCATATCCTTAAAGTCAACACTTGTCCAACAGTGAAATTACTACAGAGGAGAGAAATGGAGCAGAGCGTCTAAAAGCACAGCTGTGAGATGAATCATTATTCCTGAAACAAATGCAAGGACAATGTAGCTTTGCCACATTCATATCAATGATGGTGGCTAAAAGCTGTCATGGGACTAAGCTGCATCCTAATGACGCAGCGGCTGCCTGAGTGGGCAGAATCTGAAGGTGATTTAGTCCGTTTTCTGACAGTCTGTTCTGGCAGAGCAGCTCAGGGGAACAAAACAATTACAAGGAAGAAATTCATGGTTTTCTCACCTATCCTTTTGGCAAACAAACAAGTTAAAGGCGTTCTCCGCCCCCAGGAAGTTGTCGTCATCAAGAATTTCCACAGCGCTCATCCAGTTGGGGTTAAAATCACGAGCAATCTGGAATAAATATGAAATGTGTTGGAGGAAATGGTTAACAACACAAGTGTGTTGACCAAAACTAACATGACTCTCTAAAGTCATCTGAGAAGAGTTGGCAACCAACACGAGTCTAGACCGTCTCCTCTAATGCTTCATCACTGCCACTGTGTAATCGATACTCCTCCGTTAGTGCACGTTATGTAGAAACCGAGCACTTTAGGTTTTCTAATAATTTTATCTCAGCTAATTACAAGGACAGATGAAATGTCGTGTGTGAATGGGTGGTTGACTGACTGTGTTGTGAAGCGCCATGGAGGGTTGCAGAACCCCAAGAAGGTGCTATAAAATACAGGCCAGTTACCATTTATATCTCTGATCTGTTACAAAAACATCAACAGAAGACAAGTATTTCTGATTAACTTAAAAATTACGATTGTAGAAGCTGATAAATCCACATGGAAGATCCGTTTTTGGCTGCGTGAATTAGAGCTTAATGATGGTGAGTTTAGAGGCCAGAAAAAAAATGTTTTTGTTTTAATTGTAAAAAGCAAATGATGACATTTTAGAGCTGTTGGGTTTTTTGTTACAGATTCTGACCACTAGCCAGTTATCTGGTCTAATTGTTAAAGGCACACTTGGCAGTTTTGGCTTGCTTTTAGCACCCCCTAGTGTCCGTTTAGTAGAACCAAAAGTGAAACTTATCTCCTCGCTGTGCGTTTTTTTTTTAACACCTTAACCTAACAGCTGAAATGTCTCCTGAGCCTTCATTAGTGCCTACAGGAGTGATTCATCACTAAAGGAAAAAAAATCAGCGGTGTTCATGATATAAAACATGCAGAAAACATGCTGGAAGCAGACTGCAGTGCCAGGTATGTCAGCTCCATTTTTGTGTCCAACAGGTTCTGGCCACAGAGGGTGGTAGGGGTCTGAGTGACATTTCATTAACCCTATAAAGCCAGGTTATTCAATTCCAGCACGTTTTAGTGGTTTCTCTGCTCCAACACGCTCGATGAAACACCTGTGCAGCAGCTCTGCAGAAGCCTGTTAATTACCTACTGATTGAAATCAGGTGTGTTGAAGCAGGGTTAAAACTAAAGCATGCTGGATGATCCCCGGCTGTAAAGGGCCATTTTAGCACATACTGGCTCAAGAAAACGATTTTAAAAGTATGAAAAAGTTGCATAGTTGTCCTTTAACATAAGAATTTGGTTGTTATTATCTTATTTGTATACTTTTCTGTAACTTCATTAACTGCTTTGTGTGATGGTTGACAAGCGAAATACAATTTTCACAACTTCTTGCAAAACTGATGCAAATGTAAATGACACAAAACATCTAAAATCTTCAAGAGGAAGAAGACCAACACACACACACACACTGTGTTTTAGCTCCAGACAAGCTGTTAATCTCCACAAATCCCAGGGTGGACATCGAATTGTTCAGATATCCAAACAGACCAAACACTCTTTCATCCTCCTGCTACGGACTCATTTGTCCGCCGTGTTTAACAAGTTCAAAAGCTGTTGTGGCAAAAAGACAAACTGAGGTTAATTTACGTTCTAATGACTTAGCGTTTGATCATAATAACTGTGAAACACTGAAATAACTTGGCCTCTAACTCTGAACAGAGTGTTGCAGCGTGAGCGTGATGCTCAAATCATCAAAAGTCCGAGTGGTTCGTTTCTGTGAATGTTAGAAATATAAATGGTAAATGGCCTGTATTTGATTTGGCACCTTCTAGAGTCCTGGAACCCCCCAAGGCGCTTTACAACACAATGAGTCATTCACCCATTCACACACACATTCACACACTGGTGGGGATGAGCTACAATGTAGCCACAGCTGCCCTGGGGCGCACTGACAGAGGCGAGGCTGCCGAGCACTGGCGCCACCGGTCCCTCCGACCACCACCAGCAGGCATCGTGGGTTAAGGGTCTTGCCCAAAGACACAACGACAGCAACAGACTGAGCGGGGCTCGAACCTGCAACCTTCCGATTACAGGGCGAGCACTTAACTCCTGTGCCACCATCGCCCCGGTAAAGCTCCACGTTGCTGAAAATCTAAACTAATTTCTGTTTTTGGTTGAAAGTTGCTCAACTTTCTGACTATTTAGACTTCTGAAGAGGGTTTCTTCACATCTCACCTCTTCAAAGTTCCCTTCCATGGGTTTGTAGGCCAGCAGAAGGACAGACCTCATCAGGTCTCCCACCAGGATGAAATCTCCTTTGGTCTTCAGGTAAAGAGCCATGATGTTGTTGTAGTGGTTGCACTCAGTCCTCAGCTCCTTCTCAGCCGTCCACTCATACAAACGAACCTGGAGGGGGCAAAGCGTGAAGTTATTCATCACAAAAGCTGCCAAAGGTCAGAGAATCAGAAAGTGTCTGCAGAATAAACGGTCCTGACGTCCACAACTGCTTTCACACTGGCTGTGTTGTGCCTGGGCGAGGCTGAGGTGTTGATTGGCTATTCAAGCTACCAGCTGCTCCCTAAATGAACAGTAAACGGCTAATTAGAGCCACTATTTCATGCTGTGTGCACGGTTGAACATAAAGTTGTTTTGAAGGAGGTGAGTTATGAAGGCAGAGGTGTGCTGCTTCGACCTAATTGTAATTCAGTTGATGTCAAGAAGATCTTCTAAATGAATCCCGAGCATGAAAGCTCTGAGAGGTTAAAATAAGTCCGCATTTGGATTTCAAAGTGCAACAAATACAGCTATTAAAAGGCTCTGTTAGCTTTGAGAAAATACTTAGAAACGTCATCGTTAGACTAACAGTCACTGAGATTATAACAAAAACTACAAATAAGACAATCTATCACTTTAACAGATTTCTAAAAAATCATACATAATTCCTGAAAAGGGTGGAAACTCTGGATCGCTGCTTTAAGGCGATTTATTAAAGATATGACTGTTAAACCAAATATTAAGTAATAACTGAAATATAAATATTTACCAACAAGCTGTTTCAGCATCCAGAAGATTAACAAGGTCAAATCAACAATCTTCCAAGTAAATTTTTTTTGTTTTAAGTTTTCTGTCATGATAAAATGATTAAAAAGAAAACTGCATCAGGAAGTGAGTCACAAAGACAAGCTCCAGAAATCTGGAATCCATGACTATTTGATTCATGACATCTGCAGATAACGCCACCTTTCAAGCTTTTAATCCCTTTAATCCATCTATAACTCAGAGTGGATGAGCGTGCTGTTACAGTGCAGGAGACGACTGTTCCTTTCACTCTGGATGTCAGGTGATTTCACACTTGGCCACATGAGACAGATCTATTTAGATATGGAAGTATAAATTGAATGAGACGGCACTTTTCCTCCTCGATAGATCTCATGGCTCTTAAAGAAATTCAAGAGGAAAAAGAGACGAGTCATCTGTTGGATGACTCGGGATGAAAAAGACAGAGCCGACGTACGGTGAAGATATTAGAAAAACGATGAACTGTCCCGGCTTCAGTCTGAGATTCGCTATTCCACCGTTGTTAGGGAATCAAGGAAGGTTGGAACATGATTCCTATGCACAAAAGTAGAGAATCACCTTGACCCTAAACAAAAACAAAATACCCGAGGTGACGGCGTTACCAAGTCAGAACATTTGAAAGAGCGCCCAATTCTTTCATGTAAAAACCAAATAACATTTTAGTAATATTGTTTTATTGAGGAAAAAACAATAAAATATGAACAACAACCACTTACTGTGCTGTTTATGCTGGCCAGTAGTTTGCCATTGAACTCCACCATAGAATAGACGGCTCCTTTCACCTCCTTCTCAGCCACAGTTTGCAGCTTGCCTGCAGAAAATACCCATCAGTCCACGTTCAGTTGGCATTCACAGTGCTACATGTGCAATGCTGAGTTAAATTAGCACCTACAAGCACCCTGTGAGAACAACTGAGAGAGATGTGGGATAAATTGAAATAGAGAAGGTGCTGCATTGACAATGAGGGTAAAATAAAAGGGCTTGGCGTGGGGGATAAATGAGTTGCAAGCAATGCATTTTGAAAAGGACAGTTTGTGAAAGTGGGGGAAAAAAGAGGAGAATAAGTGTGTGTGTGTGGGGGGGGGGGGGGGGCGCGCATCTGATGAGAAGTGATAAGAAAATGATTAAGTGAGAGGGGAAACAAGAGCACGGTAGGACGAAGTGTTCGTGTTTAAAATACAAGAAGGGTGGAGGGAGGAGAAAATAAGAGGGTGAAGGATAAAGAGAGCAAAGCAAAATCAGCTGGGTGAGAAAATAAGCGTGTGTGTGCCATGGAAATCGAAACAGCTGGAGGGAAGCTTGACTACTGACCGTCAGTGTAATGGAAAACAATGATTCGCCCCTGCTTGGGCTCGGCCTCTTCTGGGTACACCATGGCAGTGCCAACAACAAAATACATCGATGGGTCTTTTCCCAGACGACATGACACGATGCTGAGGGCATACTCGCTGGGAAGGAACTGATGGGCATGAAGAACTGACAGGAACACAAACATATCAGAAAAACAGAGCATTAGAGCAACAAGACATGTCCCCATGAGGATATCCAGACCAGGTATGAATGTGTAGTAGATGGATTGATATATTATTTTTTAACAAGACACTTGATTGTTAAAGAGACGGGTTGATTAACATTTATTCATTATGTGGTGCTGTGGTTTATTTACATTCTAAGCACAACTGTTCTGTTTTATTGAAATCTCTTTGTAAATAATTAAGCTGATGATGTTTTCTTTTTGTAAAAAGGGGCAGAGCTTCATAAGATGCATTCTTCTGTCTGCTCCTTTTCATTCATGGATTTTGGATAGAATTTTATGTTTATGGATTTTATTCTGATGTTGTTGTTTTTTTTACTTGTTTTTCTTTGAATGAAATAAAGATAAAGAAAATTGGCCTAAAACCAAACTGTATAATAATCTGTGTCCACATTATAATACAGGATTTATGCAATAATCATCAAATTCCTACACATTCCTAATGTAAGGTGTCTCAGCATCTAACTAATTCCATTGAGAACCTGAAGTGCAGTATTTCTCTCTTCTTTTTGCTGACTGCTGTTTGTCAGTGTCGATGTGCCGTCACACTGGCAAACATCCAAACAGCAAGAAAAGCAGCACAACTCTGTAGAAGACAACAACTTTTCCCAGTAAACTTTCGTCTCTATTCAGCTGGTTTACTCCAGGTCAAGTTTCACTCATTAGAAAACCCACTGTCCCTCATAAAGGAACACCAAGGATGTCTGTAGGAAGCAGGAAGCACCATTTTATTGGATTAAAACATCAATGTTAGCCAGGAGCAAATCAATTCTTTCATTGGAGAAAGGAGGACAATAATATCTTTGTCTTGTAATAAATCAGGAAGCAAACCGTGGCAGTGTTGTCTGGGCAGCACCTGTTCACCTGCAGAGAACAAACTTTCTGAAACAGTTCCAACACTATTTCTGGCTATTTAAGTCAGCCTGAGGTGCACAAATCAAGACCTCCACCCACTGTACCAGTATGAGACGATACCCACTGGTGCACTTAGAAAATCTCATCAGCTGTGAACACAATGAGCTCAAACAGACCCCTTATTTACATATTGTTAACCATAATTTATGTGGGTGTAGTAATGACGGGAATTTTATAAGTGAGGCTTGCTGCACTGAAATCTGCATTGCAAAACAAAACGGAGCAAAAACAAGCCACATCCACTAGGCTTCACCATTAGGATGTTCTGCACAACGTCAAACATGATGGTTCATTTATAAAGAAGCTTTAGTTTCTAGGAATTTATAAAGTCCAGAGGAGAAAGACACAAGTTGTGAATGAGAAGTTAAAACTACATTTGTAATTGAATTAATGATGGTGGTGGTGTACTACACGGTTAAATCTCCTCCAAAGATGAATTATTGTGCCACGCCGAGTACATTTTACCACCAGGAGCTCCAAATGAAAGCTTCAACAGTTCAAACAGAAAAGCTCGTTTGAAGCTGCCTCACCTTCAAAGGTGTGCTGATCCACGACTAGCAGACTGTGCACCTCCACCTCCTCACCAAAGGAGGTCTCGTGCGGAGAGGTGCTGCTGGGGAAGAGCTTGCTGAAGCTCACGCTGCTGGAGAGCGCCTGTAAATTTATGAAAAAGAACACAGAGACATGAGGACAAAGACAGTTCAGGACAAAAAATACAATTAAAAAAAGAGAAGGTGGCAATTCTAATCTGTTTGTGTATGAGCAGCGGGAACAGATCAGTCAGCACCATCTGCAGCAGCAGATGTGCAGCATTTAAAATCAGGTAAACATCATTCTGGTCATCACGTGTGAGAGGCTCAGCGGCAGTAAACACAAACACAAATAAAAGTACACACGTGTCCCTTTGGAGGAGCCAAGCTGCACAGACAACACACGCAGCCATTGTAAACCTGGCTGGAGGACTCTCCCAGTGACCCGGCTGCTCGTGCTCCTCATTGAGCGCGATCAAAGCCTTGTTGTCCCAACTGTCAAAAACTCAATGAGATGATTATGTTTTGTGTAATTTGATCTAAACCCAAACAGCAGCTGAATTTAGCTTAATTAGGCAAAGAGCTTGGAGAGATTGCTTGAGCATAAAAGAAAATGACCCCGTCTGTTTTCATTTGTTTTGAAATAACATTGAAACTTGGTATAAATCAGTATAGACAGGTGTAGCGTTGATGTGTGCAGAACAATTTGAAGCTGTGCTGGCACAATAACAGAAGATTTTATTTGCACTTCACTTTTTATTAAATAAAGCAGCACGTATATAAAAGCACACTAGGTGCTGTACACGTATGTTACAGCCGCCTAATAGCAACAGCCAGCATTTATTAGCAAAACAAATGATCATATTTCCAACTCACTACATATTGGCCTATTTTTCATTTAATTATAGAAAACATCAGGACGTTTCTATGAAAAATGCACTAATTAGGCCGGCAATTATTGTAACTGCTCACTCACATAAGATGTTACAAATGTGCGAATTTACCGAGTGAAATCAAGGAAACCGTTTCCATGTATGACACACTCTTGTTTTGATTCGAAAAAACTCAGCGTTTCATCCTAATTTAGTGGACTTGGTTGATGATCTCTCACGGAGACAAAGTTGCCAATAACCACTGTCAGGGTGAATCTGACTGCGTCCTCCTGACGATGTTAAATGTCATTTTAGAGCGTTTATTGGCCGTTACCGAGGATGCTGCATGATCAAGTATCCCTGCCTATAATTACGGACATGACCTTCATTATGGACTGTTGTCCAATTATTATTATTGTGGTGTTACGGGAAGGTCAGCTTCTGTTATAATAAAATTAAAACTTCAAGACAAGCTCCCCCAAACCCTCAATGTGATGAGATCTGAAACTCAGTTTGGAGGTTTTTTAATGGACCTTGATACTTCTTAAGATATTTATGCACTTGCTGTGTTTCCAAACTAATGATAAATGTAATGTTAAGCAGTTCAGATCAGATTAGATTGATGCATACCTTTGCATTAGAGTCACAGCTTGGTGAGGGATTGTTTTTAAAGACGATAAAGCCTGATTCATACTTCTCTGTGAGCTCCGCAACAAAGTGACGCACACGGAGTGTCGGAAAGGTTTTCGCATTCAAACTTCTGTCCAGGCAGCGGAGTGTTGCAAAGCAATTCCCCGCCAGGACAACAGAGGGCGTAGCGATGTTCTGTGGTATTCTGCCACCGTAACACTCAGTGTATTTACTAATGTGTTTATATATTTCAGAGACTTTATATCCCCACCAAATTTGCCCTTCGTTCTCCCCCACGTCTTCATGCGGTCGTCACCTCTAAACCCACATTTCTCGTCGTTTTCGTCCACGTTTGCTCCGTATTTTGTACTCCTTCACTCACGGGTGAATAAATGTTCATAATTTGACTTTTTCCGCGATGCATTCTTCAGTCTGTTCGGGCTCTGCCGCTAAATATCTGTTTACTTTTGAACGGAGCAACAGCGGTGCTGGTGTCAAATATACAGGAAGCGGCGTCCTGACCAATCACAAGCTTGCGGTCTCCGTCACTTTAGACGGATGTTTTGGGCATGTCTCAGCCTGTCGGAGAGCCCTTGCGCCAACGCATAACGGCGTTGCGTGTCTCCGCACCGACGCAGAAGTATAAATCAGGCTTTACTCTCCTGCAGGCCATTTGTCAAACAAATTAATCCAGTTTATGTTTATGCATGTCACAGATGCTTTTATACAAAGTGATTCACACAGATGGGAGGCAGCAAGATGGATGAAGTCTCTTGCACAAGCACACAACAGCAGCATGACTAGGAATGATCTGGGATCGAACCAGCAACCCGCTCTCCCTCCTGAGCCGCTGCCTGACTCTCGATATCAGAGTAAATAAACAAAAACACAGCGTGTTTCAAGGTGAAGTCAGGTGACATAACTGCTTGCCAAACAGCAGCATGCGGCTCCTCAACGTTGGAAAATATGTAACAATCAGTCTCAAGTTTTCACAACCAGCATGACCAGAAGTAGCTCTTCAGATGTAGAGATCCTGCTGCGATTTAACTAAACGTTGCTAAATAAAACACATTCACCCTTAGATCATCATCCAATCACAGCATACAGTACCTGGGTGCTAGCGCTGGGCCGGACGACAGAAGTGCTGCCACTCACGTCGTGAATCTCCACCCTGCTGGACAGAACGCCGAAGCACTGGGAAACCTCCTGGTAACAGATCCGCCTGGTGGTGGTGGTGGGGGGACGACAATCAACACCAGCAGATTAAAAAGAGAAATACAAGCAAAGTTGCTTTATATGTGAGTCAGAGTAGAAGGCTGAATGGCAAAACGTAAGAGAATTCTGTGCATTTGCCCCCGAGATGTGAAACATTTATTTTACGTTTGACTCCAACTCGGCATCTGAAGAGTCAACTGACCTCGGAGACTCGTAGAGTGGAACAGTACGAATGTGCAGTTTCTGAATCTCATCAATGGTTCCGATGGTCAGGGTGCTGTTATTGGCCAAGGCCAGACTAGAAAGAGAAAAATACACACCAAAGATGGAGCATGATTAGGAAAAAGGGGGGTCAATGTGTCCGTTCAACGAAGCAGAACACAGCTTGCATCAAAAACACAGGAACACTGGATGTGTCCTCCTGGAACACTGTTCCAGTAAAATAAGCTGACCTGTCAGGGTAGCCCTCAGAGTTGAGTGGGCACATGTAATTGACTTCCTTTAGGTTGACGTTGGAAAACACCAGCTTGTGATTGGAGGAGTAGATGACAGTGGGTCGGTCAGAGCAGGCAAAGACGTTGGAAGTGGAGAGGGATCTGAAGGTCCTCAGCACGGTTGGCTGTGTACCAAGGGTGACCTTTTTACGCTCACTAAGGGCACCTGGGAAAAAAGATGGCGGTGTGTTTTTAATGTTCAGAATGCAATATGGATGGGTTGAACATTGTTGGATCTACGAGTAATTCTCGTCTTTGTAAGCTCAGTGAACCCTTAGGATTTGGGAAGAAGTACAAGACTTTCAAACGTTGTTTTATGCATTTTCTTTTATTTGTGTCCTGCATGTAGTTGTAATAGTAGCATGTATCCTCTGCATAGGCTCTGTGTCTTCATGTCCTTGTGTCTCCTCTTTGACTGTAATTCTACAATCTGAGCAAACCAAAGCAAACTTAATGAGTACATTTATATGCACACTCATATCGTGGTTGTAAGTCCGGCCCTGTTTTTATTCAGAGTGCCGGTAGTTTACAAGGAGAGGATCTGATTATACTCCAATCCCTGTGAGCATTCTTATAATATTTTCCAAGTCCTGGTTCTGTCTTCTGTTTGTGCAGATGGTTCCATATCAAGAACATTACACTAGAGCGGACAATGGTCGGATTCTTTTAATTTACAACCGTTTGAATCCCAGCTTGTCTTTAAGTTAAATGACTTAGAATTATATTAACGTATACGGTTGAACGGAACATTTGGACTGAACGTTTGACAAAAGATGCGAGTGGACGATGTCATTTTGGGCTTTGAGAAAACCGTGTTAGCCATTAATCAGTAACGACACAAAGATGCATCTCTAATAGACTGCTTTTAAACACTCGAATGCACTTCACTTTACAAACTCATCACTTGTTAATGCCCTGATGTTCCTCTTGTTCTAATTATTCTGCAAACAAAGTGTATTCATGTAAAAAAGGCACTCTGGTGTCTATAACCTACAACGTATAACAGACAAGCAATCAGCTGGGCATTTTTACTCCATTTTATTGTAGTGACATCACCCAGGCCATTTCTATGGCTTCAGAGAGCATTCACCCCAAACTAGAAAAGAGGAGCTTCAAACTACTCAACACTCAGAGAACATCTATAAAAATAAAAAGGAATTGTTTATACTTAAAATACATATCAGTCACTACAGCTACATTTTTAACCACCAATCCCACTTAAACACGCTGCTAAAGCGACTGAAATAACTGTATCTAACATCGGATGATACTGCAACCTGAGTGAAAACTGATGGTATTTCTGGGAGCTCCTGGAAAGCTTCAGCCAGCATCGTGTAAGTGCACAATCTGATTATTAAAAAATAACTAGACAAGTATCTAAAACCTGCACACTGTGTGAAGATTATATGTGGAAAACTAATGTAGAACTATGCCTGTATAAACGCACTGGGTTTCTTATTAACAGCCTTTTACCACCAAGCAACAAGCTACACTCTAGCGATTAGCATCTGGCATTTAAATTAGCATGTAGAAGATTTGAATTAAATGGTGCAAAAAATAAAATTCCATTTAAAAAATTAAAATATATCTTTACTGTGATCTGAAGGTGTCCTAAATTATTTCTCCACGAGGAGGACCTTTGACCCTAAGCAAACACCAGTAAAAATAAAAAATATTTCTAACTAAACAGTATTTCTAAAACATTTTTGTGTTCTCTCTGTGAAGTATTTAATTGACAAGTTTGTTTCAAACAGGAGTCAATAAGCACTGATGAATGTGTTTCCAAAGCCTCCATCATTCCTGCAAGGTCTCTTACAGGCAGTCATGCAATTCTGCACCAAACAACATTCAAATAAATGTCAATGTGCCCTGCAGGGAGGCCCCAATCAGTCTGAAAGGTTTGAGCAGCACACGTCTAATGAGTGCAGCGATCATGGCAGTAAAGAGGGAACCTACCAGTCTGCAGGTCTAGACCAAAGTAAAAGAGAGCTCCGTCTCCCAGAGCACACAGCAGGTAGTAGCTGCCTTCAAAGGTGGTCATCAGGATGGAGCGAGGGATGATTTCTGAGGACACATAAACAGGTTGTTTATTTTCCCTGAACTGTGAAGTTAAAAATAACTCTGTCAAAAGAATCAATCCTTTTGCTTTCAGCCTGACTGTAAACTCTTTAAAACAACAAATGTATTTGTATGCCGCAGGATTTCTCTTGCTTTTGTTTTACAGTTTCAGAACCTGTTGTTTCTCTGACTGCAGGCCTATAACATCAGTGCATCCTCCTCCAGAAAAAGCAGCATTGTTACAGAAAAAATAAACCTGCCAAACAAAAAGATTGAATCAAATAAAAGTTTAAAAAAAAAACACAATCAAAACAAAAATCTCTTAAAGCAAGTGTGAAATGCTGCAGTGCTAAATGTCTCGGCTTTCAGGGATAGAACTACAATGTCGATAAATTGAACCGCATATAAACTTTTAATTTAAAGTTTTCCTGCCCGAGCTCTGCACTCAGACTGCTTTTTTATTTATTTATATGTTTTCTGAAAGAGAGAGTGAGTACTTTACAAAGTTAGAGCGTCAGGCAGCTGTCAGTCACATGCAGCTAGAAAACGGTAGCACTGTTGGAAACCGTGTGGAGATATTCCTCATGGATGAAAAACTCTAATTGAAGGCTAAGTCCTTCTTTTCTCCACCTGCTGACTTTTTCTTAAGTGTTTAATGATGCACTGAATGCATGCAGCTTACCAGCGTGGTTTACACTCTAGACCTCATCAAACTAAAGGAATAAAAACAGAGAACGAAGTAGGATGCTGTTTGCTGCTATCAAATTAAATCTGGCCCTATGGCTTGGGCTTGTTATTAGACATTTAATTTCTAAACCTATACCTTCTAATTAATGAGGCCGATAGAGGTAATGATGGGGAAACTGGATGTCATATTTTAATAGATGCTGCCTTTTTGCTTCATGTTTAACAATAAATAAATTAAACCATTTAGTTTAGACTCTAAGAAACTAAACTAAGTCGTTCAGCTAAAAGGTAAACCAGGCATGATTATTATTCCCAAGGAGAGTGAATTTTTATTTAATTGTTACTTAGTTAAAAACGCAACAAAAACAAATTTGTACGATGGTTTTTGAACACTTTACCTTTCATGTCAAAGCAATAATTTCTTTCTGAATTAAATTATCTGAAATCTTGTAATAAAAACTCTTCTTAAAGTAACACTTTACATTTCCAACTCTTCCCCCTACTGGTTGACAGTGGAATTACAACCATTGTAAACAACCCTGCAGCAGGATTTACAGAAAACGATGTCATCAGACATGTTTTTACAAATGTATGATTATTTGCAGCTCAGACACAGGAAAAAAATAGGACTTTGCTACTTTTTAGATGACTTGAAACTGAAACCAGTGCGTGTATGCCGTGCCAATGTTCACTCTAGTTCTATGTCGTGTGGCTCCACCCTTTAAGCCTTGCCTATTGGGGAGTTAGTCCTTGACAACGACCAATGACTGAAGAGCTTTAATGTACGCCCGCCTATCAGGAGGGCCCTGGTTCTATAAAGAGGTGCAAGGACCAAGGATCATCTCCTCCTTTCAGTTCTTCAACAGACCTGACCACTAGAGCTAACCTAGAAGATTTACCATCATGATGAGCGAAGCTATTCGTCTATGCCAGTCCTGCAACGCGGCCTACATCATGCCCGGTGACCACGCCAGATGCGACATCTGCCTCGGCCCCAAACACGCCGGCCTCGCCCTCACACCTCAAGCCGTGTGCCACTTCTGCGAGCTCCTCCCGGCGGTCGAGAAGCTACGACATGTGGACTATTTCACCGCCATCTCCGAAGAGGTGTTCTCAGCGGCCGACACTGTCCCACTGGAAGAGGCCATGGACATTTTTGACGCTCGGGACCCGCCTGATTCCGTGCTGGCTGGCTGATCTGACGCGGAGAAGCTCAGCTGCGCGGGATCCTCGTATATATATCCCCGGAGGCTGTGGACCACCGGGCTCCCGAATGGGACCCGAACCCAGTCCTCCAGGCTACCCCCGCACCGCTCCCTGCCATTCGGGCGCTGCTCCACGAGCTGCACGCCATTATTTCAGCGGCGGCAGTCTACAAAGGGCTAACCGTCCCCACTTCCACCCCTCCTAAGTCGGACGAACTAGCAGGCCGGTTTGGCGCTGCCCTGACCCGCTGCCTTGACCCAGTTTTTCCTCAGTTCCCGGCAGCGATAGACTACTGGAACGGCTGAAAGGAGGAGCCCGCCCGGCTCAGAGCTCCTGTCTTTTCTTACACTTCAATCACCAGGGTGGAGCACCTTTCCGAGCATGGCTTCCCGGTTGTCCCACCCTTGGAGCCCGACTTGGCTTCTCTGTTCGGAGCCAAGGTCAAGATGGTGGGCCAGTGGGCGGTTCCTGCCGCCAAGAATGAGCAGCATCTGGCTCGGTTCGCTGACCACTCTCGTCAGTGCGCAGCACAGATCGGCGCAACTTTGAACAACATTGCCCTGATCGCCTACGGAATCTCCAAGTCGGCGGAGTCGTGTGACCTGCCTGATGAGCCTAAGCACCTCACCTGCAAATCGGCTGACGCCATTTTAAATCTGTGTGCCGCTAATCTGGTCTGTGCAGCCCGCATCTCTGCCTGGCAGACTTTGAGCCATCGGCTCTTCTGGCTCGGTGCCCTCCCATCCATCCCGGACCAGCTGTACAAAGACATGCTGGAGGGACCAATCAGCTCGGACGTGCTGTTTGGATCCCACTTCTGTGATGCCGTCGAGAGGGCTCAGAGATCAGCTGACCTCTCCCCAGAGCCTGGGAGGACCATCGTGGACCAAAGAGACGCCGCAGCCATCAGCCCGGCCCCAGACCGATGCAGAGCCAGCCGCTCGCAGCGACTCCAGAACCCCCGGCTCGCCACCCACCGACTCAACGTGTCAGAGCGAACTGACCTCTTGCCCCAACCTGGACCTGGCAGTCCCGGGATGAGCGCAAGAACCACCCAAGGAAATGACTTCTTGGGGGAAATGTGTGAGATGTTCATGGTGTTTGTGATGAACCCTGTTTTGAAATAAAACATTTAAACCGTTTAAAGAGCAACATCCTGTCACAGCCCTCTGCGGCCGGCTCGAACAAGCCGTCTGCTGTTTTTCCACACGTTTCCCACACCAAGCACAACTCCTTCCCCCAAACACCTGTCACGGGTTAGGGTTAAGTCATTACCTGTCTCTTCCGCCCCGCTTACTCCGTACACAGGCTTGGGGCATCCAGCGAGGAGGACTGTCTCATTACACAGCAGCTCAGTCAGCTCAGCGGGCGCGCGCTCTGCCTTCAAACGGAGCTTTCTCCCCACTGTATGTGATGTAAACCAGCACGATGTGACTTCTTTACATTCACTGCAGCCACCAAAACGAGCTGTCATTCCTGATTTTCTCAACCCTCGGCGTGCGCTTCGGAGCCTTTCCCGCGCTCGCGCTCTAGGCCATTTCCGCATGCGGCTGACGCGCAGCAGCGTACCCCTCGCTCGCCGGTGCCGCCCAAGCGACCCGTTCGTCCTAATGAATCTCGCTCAGCATCACAGTCACACGCTGTCAAGACTCATGCCCACACGCCTCCATCCTCAGGGAGCTCGGCTTCTACTGTATTGCAAATTAGCAGCCTGCGCTTTCACCACCGGCCCCCCATGGGTTGCCCCCGATATCCTTTCGGGCCAGGCAGCATATTTAGTGTTTTTTAGCATTTAGTGCCAGGAAGGGGCCGCAGAGCGCTGTCCCATGTGAAGCTGAAACCAGTTTGAAAGATTGCCTTAAAGGACAAAAATGTTTTAGACCTTGAGATGCTCGACTGACTAAATTAAATACTTAATTTGATTCAACACAATCTTTTTCCCCTTATAGTTAGTAAAGTCACTAAGCTTTAACTGTTTGGGACTACTACCAGTGAATTTTCCGAACATTGAGAAAAAAATATGCAGGTTTTTTGGCTGGAATCCCAAAGTTTGTATGTGGCACAATGATGTGTTATAAGGCACAACAGCAAAGAAATAGCTGCAGGTGTGTACATTTGTTGTTGTCATTTACTCACAAAGTGTCACAATTTGTCCACAATTAAGCCTAATTTAACATCTAATAAGTTGCCAACCATTTCCAAACTTGTTTCATGTTCTAAATGGAGATGTTTCAAGACTTTTTAATTGTGATCATGTTCAAAATGAATGTCACCGGACAGCGAGGCTGTGACCGGCACAAGGAAATTGAGAATTCTTGCAAACATTTTAGACACTACCTCGTCATTTGTTACATCCCAGTGGGAAACTGGCCTAAAGCACTTCTCATTTCCAGTCTCCTCACTCACCTCCGCCAAGCATTTCTTTGTGCAGTGGGGTGAAGCAAGGCAGTTTGAGCACACGTGCAGAGATATCAGTCCACAGTCCCACGGCGCAGAGCGGTGACTCGCCCCCGCCCTCCCCCAGAGGCGTGATGTCCAGGCAGGCCACCTCGTGCTCCATCTCTGTGGTGCTGATGAAGAAAAGTTCACAAAAGCATAAGCAAGCTTTCCTGTGAGTTCTGGGGATGGGCGTGAAATCTAAAAACATACAACAGACTAAAATAGCTCATGAGATAATTGCTTTAGTGAAGTTCAAATTGATTTATGATCTCATGTGAGATGCAAATTAATACATTTAAAAAACAGATGTTGAGTCTAACAGTGAGGTCACACCAGTGAAGTACTGGAGGTCTATTATTATCTCATAAATCCACAGTGGGAAATAATCTTCCTGTCCTCCATAGAAACTCATTTGCAGTGTTTGAATTTGGGCTGGGCAATATCGATATTTTCAAAATAGCTCTAGTTTGAATGCATGCACTTCATTCCTTAAACAATGGTATATTTACAAGAACACAGTTCATCTAAATTCATGAACTTACTATATAAATTAGGGACGTGTATTGGTGAAATTCTGGCAATACGATATATATCACGATATACTGTGATACATTCAGTCACCCAGGCGACATTAGCGACTTTCTTTAAAAACTGAATTTATTGTAGGAAAAATCAATAAACAGTCCAAAATGATATGTAACATGTTTAACATGAGATATCTGAACCATAACAGAGGCATTTCAGGGTTTCCCCAGAAAATGAGTTAAGCCTGGCGGCTTTGCCCGTCCGGGGAAGGGGGGGGGGGGGCGCTCCGTCCCGCAGCGCTCCTTCGCGAGAGCAGGGGTGGGGGTGGGGGGTTGCATACATTCCGCTGCTGTTTCCCACCAGTATCAGCTGATGGAGGGCTTTAGTTTCGTTGTGCTGTTCATGTCAGCGGACACGGTAGGGTCGGGAGTGGGGCAAGGCATGACGCTTAGCCTCGCAGGTGGCCAAGCGGCCCGTCAGGCTTATAAAGCGCTGGGGGGAACCCTGGATTTACATTTCAATGGTGGAAACAAAACCCATAACACATTGCTGCCAACCAGTGGTCCCTGTTTGAATTGCACCCAAAAAATAAAGAAAAAACACAAATGTTTGCATGTCAATTCTTCCCAAAAAAAAAAAAAAGATACACGGCTTTTAAATATTGATATAATATCGCAGGAAAAAAAACTAGGGATGTGAATCTCAGAGCAACTCACGATTTGATTTGATTCTGATTCTCAGGGTGCCGATTCGATTCAGAATCGATTCTCGATTTAAATCGATTCACAATCAATATTAACAAACAGGGGCAGTTCCAGGATTAACTACTTTGTTGAGCAAGTTAGTTGAAGCTATGGGAATTTTTTTTATTTTACTTGAAACTGGTCATGCTAAAAAAATAGCTAATTTACTAGGTAAAATAAAGTGATTCTACAACTGTAAACAGAAAAAATATTTTGACCAAAAGGCAACATTTATTTTTGCTTACCTTGTAAAATATAACAAATCTTTAGTTACCTAACAGTAGCTTTGAAAGTAATAGTCAAATACCTTTTAAGTATCTGTGGAAACAAGTTTAACATTTGAGTCCTCAACCAGTTTTAAAAAAAGTGCCTCAGATTTCTTACAAAGGAAAATGTTTTCCCTCATTTATCAAATAAACACATGAGTAATCCTGAGTACTTACTTATCAACTTAGAAAATAAATATGAGAATATCTCAAATTTCAGAGTATGGAAAAAAATTACATTCTAGTCCCCACTTATCAGCAGATTCAAACATAAATCATCTCAATTTATGGAACCACAAAAGTAAACGGAGTACTAACTCTCCAAACAAAGACCAAAAAAAAAAAAACATACAAAGTGCATCTCAAAGCTGTAACATGCCAAACTTCTAGACCTTTGTGAATCGATTCTGAATCTTTTTAAATAAGAATCCCAATTCAGACTTGAATCGATTTTTTTCAGCACCTCTAAAAAACAAAATCACGATATATTGCCATATCTATATTTTATTACTTCCCTAATGCAAATGTTAGAGTTGGATCAGAAGATTTGAATTCTGATTTGTCAAAAGAAAACTTCATTTTCGGCAAATACTGATCATCTCTGTTTACTGACACTAGTCAGTGACTCGATGCAATCTGCTGCTGGGTTCCTTATATAGGAAACTTTAAACTAAATGGCTTAATAAACTGAACTCAATTGGAATGTTAATTTTGTGAAGTGCCTTGTGACAACTCGTCATAATTAGGCAATATTTAAATAAACTGAACTTAATTTTCTGATCAGGAAACGGCTGGCAGTTAAAGGGGACAAAGAATCTAAACCAACATTTTCTTGTTGTTTGTGAATAAAGACAGCTTGGGTGGTCAAAAGTAGCATGCCAAAAAGTCAAAGCCCTGTGTGACCTACTTTTTATGTAAATTAGAAAGTTTAAAAATGTCAGAGAAAATTTTATTTTCTGAAAAACCGCTCATAATGATGTCACAATATGGAGGCTTAAGAATGGCCTGTATCAGGGTTCCTGGGACAGATGAAAACCAAAAGAAAATCTCTTATGCTTGTTGGAGATTCAAAGCACTGTTTTAGATTGCTGATAAACTGCATTTTTTGTCCCCTTTAAAGCAGTGACTTCAGAAGTAATATTTGTTAAAAATCAGATTAAACAAATGAGTCTTGAGGCGAACTTAAAAGTGCTCAGAGACTGAGACCGTCTGAGAGAGAATCGGCTCCTCTAAATGCAAGATCGTTAGCCTAGTGACCTAGACCAAATTTTTGCTGTGCAAAGTTTGGTCTAGGAACGCTCCATTGAAACCTCTGCAGCCCCTAGTAGCATTCTGGCTGGCCAATCACTGCTCTCTACAGGGGTTTCAATCCTATTGAGCACTGTGATTAGTTTACAATGGTAAGCCAATCACAACGCACCATTTGCTTTGTGGACCAATCACAGCACTTTATCCGCTTTGGGGACCAATCAGGGCCCTCTGTTGCATCATCCCGCCCACCAGATAAATAGAGTGGAACAAAATGGCGACAGCTTGTTTGAAACAGCTTTTACATAAATTTTGGGTTATTATAAAAAATAAACTTTTTTGTGCCAAAAGTCCCAATCTGTGTCTCACCTGATTTGCTTGAGCTCTCCGGCTAAGATCTGCAGGTAGTAGAGGGCCCGTCCCACAGCTAACACCACTTGAGTGTGGTTACAGGTGGCCACGCTGATGTTCTTGCCCTGAGGCTCCTTCCACTCACTCACCAATGCCTTACTCTCCTGAAGCACCAGGCGCACCGAGCCTGACGTGATCTGAAGGGACAGTATCATTTAAGGACAGGAGCACAACTGAAGTCAGAGTCGGTGTTAGATGAGTTATTGGCAGTGTTGGGCAAGTTACTTCAAAACGGTAATGCATTATTTATTACTTGTTACCCTCATTTTAAAGTAATTCATTACATTACAATATTACTGATTTTAAAATGTAAGGCATTACGCTACTTTTGCATTACTCTAAGTTACTTTCAACAAAACAACTTCAGTATGAGTTTGGTAATCTGATGCCTGGTGAACTCATGACACATCCAGTGAAAGGTGATGTGGTGTCTGAGCTAGGATTGCTGTTAAAAACAGTTGTTTAGAAGGATCGTTTATGTAATAAATGCAACAACAAACTGTACTCTCAGCACGCTGCCATCTTAGATTAACTGAGCGGCGAGTGAGGTGGTGGGGGCTCCAAGCCTATTTGCCTTGGTCCCCAAATGCCTTGATACGGCCCTGGATGTGGGACTGACTTCTGGGGTGATCTGATTCTATCACATGTATAAATATTAAATGCTTATATATTATTGCTTTTCACTGGTAAAAATGAGTATTGGGGATAAATCTACCTAATTTTTTTCTTTTCAAGCACTTTGTTTTGTTTTCTTGATTTTATTTGAATAATTTCCTGCCCTTTCTCTCTGTAACCTTCCTGCATGCTGCATGTTTTCTCCGTCTTCCAGAAAACCCGTTTCCTAGATTTCCTACTTTCTAACTAATCAACCAAAGGGATCTTCACATGTGCGGCACTCCAGCAGTAATGAGTTGAAATCACCGGGGCACAGATTATGAACTCAGATGAAGCAAAGCACGTCAGAAAAGTACAGAATACCAGAGAATATGCGCTGATATGAACGATCGCAGGTGAATTATTTTGTTTTAGTGGAGCGATTTTGTGAATGTTACAGCGGCCGCGCACAGGATGCAGCTGGAGTATTTGAGCCGTTACCGCTGCGTCCTCTCTGCCTGCAAAGCTGAGTCCATAAATGACGTAATATATGCAGATACTGGAACTTTTTTCGGGTTTCCCGCAATTTGAATTTTTAAGAAACGCATCTTGATTCTGCGTTTAAAAATGCATTGTAATTACCGCGTTACTGACAGTTGTACCGAGTAAATATTACCATTTTCTTTCCCTGTAATGCCTTACATTACTGCATTACAGCAAAAAGCAATGCATTACAGTAATTTATTACTTTTGTACCGCGTTACTCCCAACACTGGTTATTGGGTCTGTTTTAGGCCTGGATTGTGGTTTAAACGTATTGTGAACATGAAAAAAATAACTTTTTATTTCTTCTCAAACAAAAAGAAACTCCTTTGAATCTTGAGGAAAAGGAAAAATTAATTGTTTTTCATTAAATCCACTCTATTAATCAAAGATGGCAAAGTCATCAAGAAAGAAGGAAACTCCCAGCTGGTTGAGTAGACAAACACTCAGTAATAAAGGTGTTAGATCTGAGCCTAAGACAAAAGAAAGATTAGCCTAACATTTTGTTCACTGGAAGAACTTGCAAATTCAAATGCATCATTTAATCCAAGAAAGAAGACTCTTGGAAAAGAATGAATAGAAGTGAAGCACTCACTTTCATAAAATGTTTGTAAAGCACTGCTTTAAAAATCTGATTTGAATGCATTTGTAAAGTTTATAAATAAAGCATCTCAGGCTGCAGGAAAATGGTGTACTCTGAATGTGATAATGTAAAAGCCAGAGCACGACTGACTCAAGAAATAAAGGAAAATAAACAGAAGCCTCATTAAAAGCATTCAGCAGGTAAAAAAAGAAGAAGACTATCAACGGAGGTGAAAAACTATTAGAAAGAGTGCATATAATAGTGGTGTAATGTGGTGTGAAACTAGCATATATTCAAGACGAAAATGGCTAATGGAATCTCTCGAATCGGTTTCAGACGACAGAAAACTGAATGGTTTCATTTCTATGTTTAGAGACCTAAAAGGCAGAAGCTGTTCAAGGAGGAGGTTTCAACTTGTGTGAATCCTGAGGATTTTTACTTCTAATGTTTCAGAATCTGAAAAGACAGACACACAGATGACAGATTGATGTGACCCCCCCAAATCCCAACCCACACACACTTAAGGCCAAACTTGGGTTTTGTGAGATTGTTCTTTAACACGATGCTACTTTTAGCAAAATTTTAATATCACTAGTGCATATCGCTAAAAATAAAACTGTTAAACAAGCTGTTTTTAATGTTAAAGCGCTGCTAAATTTGCTTTTTACACACATACAACTTTTCTAATTAGCACCCAGCATTCAGTATGGCTGATTTTGCGGATACTGTAACAAAACAATTAGGGGCATTAATGGAAATTTTGTCCTGAGGAGTGACGTTTTAGGGCTCAGGCGCACTTAAAAAACTTTTATTTTTTATTTAAGTAAAATGTAACTGCATTATTGTAAAGCAAACAAAAGAAAACAGGGAAAAGGAGATCACTGGAGTTCATTTCATCATCTAGAAAAGTCTGTTTTGTTATTTATCAAGTCTCATTCAGAAGTGGTAGCCAAAGAGAGAACAAACACCATCAGTAACAATGGAACCACAAATATGGCTAACTTCCCCTGATGCTCCCCATTGTTTACCCCTGCACCTTCAGATATCAGTCATAATGTGTTGAGCAGGTCGGCATAGTTGGCTTGCTCCAACTCATTTACTGAAATGAGCGGCATAGAGTTTTTACTGCGAGGTTAATTAAAAGAGCAGAGCTCAAGCACACGGTGTACGTGCAGGACGACGGGCCAAAATAATGAGCTGCAAGGGCTTAAGGCTGCACAAGGCTGCAGTGTCAACCGTCAACACTAAATAGGTTTAGCACTACGAGCAATGCTTTCATGCTGCGTAAATGCCTTTGATTCACTGTTTATATGAAAATACTGCTAATTCTGCAGTTTCCTGTGAATGTATACCATGCAAATCAACAAAAATTCCTGAAATCTATTGTTTTTGGTCCATTAATGAGCCACTGAAGTTGGGTCGGATTAAACATGTCTAACTCTACTGTAAGAAGCTGTTGTAAAAGTTTTTCTAAATGTTCCAATTATTTTTATAAAGTACAATAACTGTTTTAATTAAGCCCAACAAGAGTGGAGTAAAAGCATCAAGAGAGGAACTGGTGTTACTTTTGTTGAATGTAAATAATACATTTTCCTTATGAGATGCAAGAAATTGTAAGTTCTCTAGTAGTAAAATATGAGCTGCGTTGTCATAACAACCTAAAGATTTATAGCGAAGGTCTAACTTTTGGCAGAATTCCCAGCAGGACTCAGCTTCATTTCAAAAAGGCAGGCTAAAACTTGAATTTAAATGAGTACAATATTCAACACTGTCAAGTGTAAAATCCATGAATTCCTTTATGCGTCCTTCACAGTCAGGGATGCCCCTCTCAATCATTTATGATTCGGCTTCAGCAAAAGCTGTCTAATGAAACAGAAAAGGGCCGGAATAATATTTTCTGTTTTTATGATCATTGTAGATCGTTTATTTTTTTTTTATTAGAGGAAATTCTAACTTTTTAAAACATTGGACATAAAATAAGTGTTAATATTAATGACGCATGAGTAAGATTGACATCCCGTGGTACAATGTGGGTATTGCAGTCCATGAATCAAAACAAACGAGTCCACTCTGAGCAGCTGTTGCCAGCACCAGAAGATTCTGGATGAGGAGCGAAGACGAGTCATACTCAGCAAGCTGATAAGTAGATAAATACATTTCACTGTAATATTGAGTTGTTGGTAAAAGAAAAAGTAGCTTGAGATATTTTTAGGGCAGACTATTTTTTTTAACTCAGCGTTGTCACTGCTAGCTCAACGTTAGCCTCTGGCCTTCTTCACTTGATATTAACCCTTAAGGACCCGTAGCGGGTGTCACCCCGTTTCAAGCATCTGCTAAATATTTTCTTGAGTCATATAATCACGTTTGAAAACTCCAAGTGACATTCTGTCCATACATATGTAAGAAAAGATTTCCCTTCCTTATTTTATTACATATTTTTCTAAAATGTGATGCTTTCACTAGAGGTGCAGCTACCAAATATTTTAGTATTTGAAAATACTATTGAATCCTCTGTCAATTAATGGAAAATGGCCTGCATTTGATATAGCGCCTTCTAGGGTCCTAGAACCCCCAAGGCGCTTTACAAGTACACAATCAGTTATTCACCCATTCATTCACACCCTGGTGGTTATGAGCTACATTGTAGCCACAGCTGTCCTGGGGCGCGTATATTGATTGATTGATTTGTACTTTATTTTGAACTAACGTAAAAAATATTTTTTTTTTTATACGACACAACTCGACACAAAAGCAATCAAATAATAAAGTCCGAAAAGGAGCAGTTAGAAGTAAAACTTGTACATTCCTACCCCCTTCTCACTTATTCTTATTCAACTTATCTCAAAAACAAAATTTAAAAATTAAGAAACATATCTAAATAAAAATAACAATAATACAGAGAACAAATAGATTAAACATACTCAACAATCAACTTCTTGTATAATTCTATTTAACCCAGCTCATCAACATAATTATCCAAAAGATGTTTTTGTAGCTCTTCTTAAATTGATTTACCTTTACACATTTTTTCAAATCTTCACTCAAATTGTTCCATAATTCAACCCCACATATTGTTGTACACATACTCCTCTTTGTTGTCCGAACTCTCTGTTTTTTTTTAAGTTTAATGCCCCTCTCAAATTGTACCCATCGTCTTTATCATTAAACATTTTCTGTATATTACATGGAAGTAATTTATTTCTTGCCTTAAACACGATTACTGCGGTTTTAAACTTTATCAGATCAATAAATTTTGACACTTGTCATTTTAAAAGCAGTGTTGTTGTGTGTTCCCTATATCCCACATTATATACTATCCTTATTGCTCCTTTTTGCAGTATGGATAGTGATTGTAGATTACTCAGGTATGTGTTTCCCCAAACTTCCACACGGTAATTCAAGTATGGCATTACTAGTGATGAAAACAGAATATACAAAGATTCTTGATTCAGTAAATGCTTTATTTTACCCAAAACACCAATGCTCTTTGCCAATTTTGTTTGCATATATTTGATATGTGGTTTCCAGCTAATATTATGGTCTAGGATAAACCCCAGAAATTTTGTTTCATAAACTCTCTCTATTCTTACATTTTCTAACATCAGTTTTATCTCAGAGTCCACTCTTCGATTTCCGAACAAGATGACTTTGGTCTTGTCCGAGTTTAATGATAACTTGTGTTTAATGATAACTTGTGTTTAATGATAACTTGTGTGCCTACGGTCACACTTGTTCAAGCTGAACCATTCTTTCAACTTACTCATTTCAATCCTCACTTCTCCCAATAATTGCTGTATATTTTCCCCAGAACAAAGAGCATTGGTGTCGTCTGCAAGAAAAACAAATTTTAATTTAGGGCCCAGTACTGACCCTTGTGGTACACCAACAGTTGTGTCAAGACAGTTGGACATGACATCCCCCATTTGATCGTATATTCTATTTGAGTCGCCGACTCTCAGTAGCAACAACAGCAACGCTGCAGCTGCAGACATTTTTCTTCTGCTTACGAGTTTAGTCATTCACAACCATCGAGTTTTTTCTGAACCCCACTTGATCGTTAGCGTGCTACATGCTAGCTTAGTATTAGCCAGTCTGCCTATAGTTTAACTCTCGATCCCAAACTTTAGAGCGTTTCTGCCGTTTACAATTTGTGTCTAAAATGTGTTCAGACTGTGGTGAAGCTTTGAATCACTAAACAAATGACTCGAGGAATTTAATGAATCGAACTGTTGAAAGATTAATTTCAGCCATAGCTTTTACTCCTGTTTTCTATTTTACAAAGGTATGGGCTCTAAGGGGTTAGTGTAAAACAAAAGGATGGCATGGCTTCTTAAGAGGTACAAGAAATGACTTCAGGGTCGCTCCTGTTATTGGCTAACAATCTTTTCACAATGCAGTGTCAAATTAAAAATACAAGTGTAGACTTGGCAACCCTCAGACTCAAATATGATTGGCTCTGGAACCAGGAAGTATGGAGATGGGACAGATTGTAAACCAAGATTTTGTCTCTCTCTGAAGTTTGTAAAAAAGGAGAAAGGAAATCTGTTTAAAACTTTCAATGTAATTTTTCTACCAACATCGTTGAGACATGTGATGATTTCCCTGTAGAATTATTCATTATTTTGCGTTTAAACTAAGAATGTGAGCGAAAGTGTGTACAAACTTGAATAAGTTGTTGGTGGGCAACGTTTCCACAGAAAAATGTTTGCTGGTTGTCCACAAAGCCTGGCAGCTCAGTCTCCTCAACCTCCTCGCCACTTAGCATCAACACCCTGAGAAGAAGACAAAATATGAGATATGTGGATTAAGAAAAAAACTACATATTTGTCTGGCATGCAGCTGAAAACACTCACCGTGTCTGACCCACGAAAGACAGAACCAGCATATCATCTGTCTCTCTGCCTGCCTCAGACCGAAGGGGCCACAAACCTGGAGGGGAATTCAAGGATGACTGTTATTTAAGAAGTTACTCTCTGCACCAACACAACAGAAATAAAACATCTAGTCGATCTTTAACTTTCCCATCCGTTAAAAGCAAATGTGCTGGAAGATGAACAGGTTTCAGATAATCCTCCAAGAACCATTGATTGGAAAAGTAAATAATTGCCCCTCATCTAAAGGCCAGGGGCAGGAGCAAGCAGTGGGGACTTTTCAGGTGGACAGTGTCAATAAACATCTGAAGCCACACAAGTACAAGCAGACCTTTTACTGGCCTCGGTGTCTCATTTAAGCATCACACAAATCCTTGGAGAGGGACTTCATTTTGCAGGATTAAGCCGATCTCTCTGTTTGAATGTTTGGTGCAACGGAGAGCTTTTTAGTTTCCTAAATGAAAACAAACACTGTCAAACCCAACACTGGCAATGTTCTTGGCGTTTTAAAAGCAACAAGCCAAGACCTATAACATGAAAGCCATCTGCTCCCGCTCACGGGCTGAGCCTGGACGAGCAACAGCTGGAGTCTTGGCTGGTGAGGCAAGCAGATGTGAAGGGTTCAAACGGGTCTAGTGTGGAGTCGGTGGAGGACTAAGGGCTAGATGAAGTCAGGACATGGGAGGACGTAGTTGGACGAGACGCAGACTTCCACATACAGCACACACGAACCTTTGATTCCCGGCAGGTCAATGCTGGCATGCTCATGAATCCCAATGCCGTTACGGATGATCCGAAGAGAGCCTTCTTTGAATGCACCTGAGCACGTCACCAGCTGAAATCAACAAAGACAGACAAGGACACAGAATAAAATACGAGACTTGTTCCTTACTTCATTACCTGTCATGTCGGTGTCCTGACTATGATTTTTCGCTCAAACGATAACTATTTCAAAGTCTTATTCTATAAGTAAATTCATCATTGACATTTATGATAATAAAACTCCAAGCTGCCGTCTTTAATCACTTGAGCCTGAGCACTAACTACAGACGTTTGAACTCATTGACATTAGCAAAAAGCAAAACTAATGGGGCAAATCATGAGCAATCAGAAGCTCAGCCTCTGATTTAAGGTGAATTAGATAAACCAGGGGAAATGTTCTCCTAATGCCTTCATTTGCTACGGTTCCAGTCGTACGAATCGACCATATCAATGCTGTAATAACAGATCCATTGCTCATTTCATTTCTAAATCTCTAATTCATTTGTCCGAGCTGTAACATCCTTCACATTTTTTGTCATACAGAATGAATATTCTGGTGGCGAAACCATCATCCATCATATCGACTGGTGAATCAGTTCAAATTAGAGCGTCAGAGATTGTCATTAAGAAACACGACGGTGTTGAGATCTAAGACCCTGAAGGTTAATAATTCTGGTGTCTGTTCAGCCTGACTGGGGTGCACCAGAATGTTATTTATTCATCCAGTCACGCTACAATAACAAGATTAATACCAGAGCTCACATAATCTCAGCCCATGCCACCTGCCACCCAGCAGCCCCATCCTGATGGAAACAGTCATGATGAACCTGGCAAGCCATTTAACTCCCTCGAGCATGCTTCCAAATGCCCTCGTGCACTCCACTACGGTCACACTTGATGCCTAGAGTCCTGGTAATCTTCACACATTTGCTTATCTGTTTTTCAAGCAGGTTTGAGCAACAGCGTGATATTCAGCTCCATATCTGACCTTAATCCTGAGTTTGAGTTCAACCTTGTGGTGTCAGCTATTTTTTTTTTTTAGTTCTGAAAGAGGTCAGGTTCCTGATTTTGTCCTGCAGCTTGTGCATCCGTTTTCTATTATTCCCCCTAACAGTCTTGGAATGCATCTGTATCAATTAGCCAGACCAATGCTCTGTGGATTTGCAGCAAATGGCAAATTAAAACAATTGGGATTAGATTAACTTCTGGGCCTAAACAGAATAAAATGAGTTAGACACTGTGTATGGATGGAAACCGGCACTGGCTGATCGCATGCTGGCCTGCGCCCAGCCGAGCGGTTCAGAGCTCTGGTGGACTGCTGCCTTTGGAATCACATTCAGAGCCCTGAAGCCTGGTGTCAAACTCTGCCAACTAAACCTTCTGCACAGCATCTCTAGTTTTGTATTCCACCGTTTCATCTCCCTTCAGCGAGTCAACACAAAGTAAGAAAAACGATCCAACACACAGTAAAATAAATAAACCATTTTTCTGTAATAATACATGGAATAAATGGTGACACATTGTTTCAGCAGCTATTTGCATTTAACATCAAAAAATAAACATATATTGTGATATACCAACAACAAGAAAAAAAACATCTGCCTTTTAAATGTGACATTCAGATACAGCACAGGTTATTTCCACAATACACCCTGTTTGACATTTACTGAAGGTAAACAGAATCAACCAAACAGCAGCGCAGGGCAGATGGGACCGTTAAGAGGACGTGTAGACAAGTGAGACGAGGTATTTAGAGTTTCAAAAGGTCTTCAAGTTTTTAGATGAAATTATCTGATTTGTCGTTTTGCAACAAAACTTGAAAACATTTCAGCATCAGGAATTAGGGCTGAACGATTCAGGAAAATAATCTAATTGCGATTTAATTCACGATTATTTTCTCAAGGGGCTTTTCTCGTTTGTCAACTAATGGAAGCAAAAATATATCTATGTAACTTTTACTGAATATAAACAAGTTTATTTGTCTAGAAGTTTATCTGCATATCATGTCAACAAGTTTATTTGTCTACATAAACATAAACACTCACAGTAAATACAAAATTTGGTATGTGAGGGTGCAATGCTTTGCAGCCAGGAGCACACCCCTTGAAGCAGCATTGGTATTAGCATCAATAGTGAGAATTGATTTGCAGGAAAGAAGTGTGTCCCATTTATTGAAGTCTTTTGTGTTTAGAGTTTTTGACGTCTTGTCCACGCAGAGCTTCCGTAGTTCAGTTACGTTCATAGCTGCAAGCCAAATCTCAGTGGAGTTAAAGTCTTACAGTTTTCTAGCTTTACTAAAATATCTGTCCGTACTTATTTGATTAATGGCAGTTTTTACTTTTTATTAGACTCCAAATGTAATCATTTGGCACGTTTCTAATTCGTAATTTGTAAGAATGTAATCGACAATATTAGCATTAGCATTCCTATGGATTTTTCAATGTATATTAGCGTTGTGCTAACCACTCGCTGCCAGTCAAATCGCAGCCTTTGCGATTAGAAAATCTCCTTTTGTCACATCGCAATTTAATTGCATATGCAATTAATCGTTCAGGCCTACCAGGAATTGATAGCTGTGTTTCCATTACCGCAACTCCGGGGCATTTCCTGGGGCGGGGAAATTCAACCCTTTGCACAGACGTGGGCATATCGCGACTGCTGTGGCAGTGAGTGATGCGAGTGATATGACTGATGAGAGCCAAAAGGCGTACACAGTAACATTAATAATATTAAAAACATTTATTCTGTCTAAGTATATCATTATTTAATCAATTCAGAGGACAAGAGCAGCTGTGTGATGTAAAATGTGGCGTTCAATGACCAGAAGAAGTGCCGTTTTTTACAGCGCTCTCCGAGACAACAAAGCTGTTAGTTAAGTCTGTGGGGAATTTACCCGTTTTTCCAGTGTCGGGAGTTTAGTAACAGCTGTGGGGGAGTTTTGCTGTGTTTTCCGGTGTCGGGAGTGAGATTTTAAGCGCGATCAGTGCTCCTTTTCCTTTGCTTTCATTCTGCTTCACCAGCAACTCTTATAATTTTACTAATACCGGTTGTTTTGGATGACGTCTGCTGATGTAATTTCCGACTGAGTTACAACCAATCAGCGTGAGTTAGCCAGAGGTTCTGCTCAGCTGCGCCACCGGGCCATTCGGAGTACCTACCCCTGGGCAGGCACTCAGAAGATTCCTGAAAAAGGCCTGGAAAACGGCAGTTCGGCGGGCCCGGTCAAATGGAGACACACACATGTCGGGAGGTTCCTGTAAATCTACCCTGAAGTTCCAATAATGGAAAAGCAGCTAATGTAATCAAAGGGTTACTCTCAGGATAAAGGACTAGACAGAAAAAAATGTTTCAAAAGTGACTGGACGTACTCCTAACTCATTACTTTTCCTTGAGACAATAAAAACCTAAAAACTTCAAATAGTGACTCCGCATAAGAGACACAGACTGATTAAATACATTATAAATAAGACTTTAGACATTTACCTGGCCCTGGCCCTGCCTCTCCAGGTCCACCACACACATGTCCACTATGGGTCCCAAGTTGGTGAACGTCTCCATTACGGTCACAAATGAGCCCTGCTCATTGCTGTCCACGTTAAGCTGCAGACAAGTTAATGCATCTTAAATGAAGGGTGGAACATCGCAAGCTTGATACCAACAGCCGTAATAAGTGTCTAGTAACTCAAAACATGAACTTAAAAATGTAACCTTTAAATAGGAAACAGCAACATTCCTATGAAAATCCAAGAGTATACATTTATTTACAAAGAATAAAAAATCAATGTAAAATAAAATCACAAAGATGAAAAACATTTTCAAACTATCAAAGATTCGTCTTGATTCTTTTTAATTGCTCTCATCATGTGTGTGTTCAAAGTATGGATGGTTAAAAATCCCATCCCATCCCCCCGATGATGTTATTGACTTTGTTTATTCACTACACAATTGTGTTCTATGCAAAAATACCACTTTCAAAAGCTAAAAATACAACAGATTTTATTCATTTTGTGCCATTTTTACATGTGGCAAAGATGATGTTACAATTGTCAACACAAGCTATTCCATCACAACTAAAACTCTACCCAGACCAAGAGAAAAGTGCTAAACTCTTCCTACCTTCACAAGCTGGGAGTCGCCCAGTCTGGAGCCAACAAACACCACGCCATTGTCCAGGTAGGTCAAGCACTCAGCGATAGAAGTCTGTCAACAATCACACACAAGGAAACCCGTGTCAATCAAACCAGTGGTACCACATAAATGGCAATAATTCCCAGATCCCCATGTGATCCCTCATTTTATCCCCAAATAAAGATAATTTAATTTAATGTCGTAAATTCAAGAAATAAACAAGTTTCGATTAACAAGCAGGAGTCTGCAGGAATTAAAGTGAATTGCTAATTTAAGTTCTGACAGAGAATGGCTGGGATTTTCAGTTCAATTGCACATTAATGAAAATCTATTTAAAACAAAACACTTTTTACTCCACTTATATTTTAAGAGCAAATCTAATAAATATAACTGCACCAAAATGTCTGCAAAGTTCTGCAGCATTAAAACTTATTTACATTAGTAAATTATGGAATGTTTGCACAGTTTTAGTTGTTTGTCAATGTCAAGAACCATTGCTGATGAGAAAAATTATTCTAGTTATTAACTATAAATAACACTGGTATTGTTAAAAGAGGGAAGACTGATATATCAGGCCGATTTTTGACATTTATAATATATCGGCATCAGCTGATTTACCTCCTTAGTAAAGCCAATTTAAAGTCAGGAACATCTGCAAGCAGCCAGGAGTTGCTGCAGAATTTTATTAAATGTATATTTTACATTCCTGAAAACACTGGCATAACAAATGCTCCAACAATAATTTTCTACAAAAATTTATTTTTATATAGCAGTTTTGAATATGTACTACTTGGTCAGTTTACCGATTCATTTGATTAAAGGTGCATTATGTAGAAATGAAGTAAAATTGACATCCTGTGGTAAAATCTGGTTACTGCAACCACTTTAAACAACTCTGGAGCTTTTTGTTCGTTGTTGTCAAATTGCAATTGTCGGTGCTGCAGTATTAGCTCACAAGAGACGTGGCAACCCCCCACTCACTGATGGTAAACAGTAGTTACGTCCCTCCTTTCTTTGTTTTGAAAGGAGAAAAACTGACAATCCCCACAGCCAGCTGGATATGAAATATGTTTCAGTATAACTTTCCTTCCAAAATGACTGAAACAATAGACTCTTTGGGATTTTCTCACTGTAAAATTCTCACTATATTCTTACATACTGCACCTTTAAATTTAAGTAGCAGTGCACAAAAGTAAGATTTAACAGCTGTGTTCACAAACTGATGCTATTAGTGATCGGCAATGAAAATCAGCCTAAAACATCTGCAGCACTAATCGTGGACCAGGACCTTTACATATCAGGATCGGTATCAGCAATAGAAAAACCAAAGCGGTAATATATATATAATTTTTATTTTATTTTTTTAATGAACATTTCCCTTTTCTGAAATTTGAATGAAGCTGCACAGTTTAATCTACAAAATTTCTCAGCAGTGGTCCATCTCCAGCTCTGCTCTCAGCACGTTGGATTTCTTCTAGCTTAAGCATCAGTCAGAACTAGACAGGTGACCTTTCACCTCTCGAACATCCAAGCTAAGTCATTTGTAGGAAGGTGTGACCAACAAAGCTGTCATCTTGAGCATATACTGAAATAGAGTTATTATCCAAATCCAAGTTTAAGGGATAAATGACTACTTGGCAAGAAGGAAACAAAGAGTAGTATCATCCTTACAAGAGTGGACAGACCCATTAGCTGTTCTCGGGGCCATAAACCATTAAAAAGTCAATCATAGTACAAAAGGGCTACTGAGGTAGTGAAAAGACAAAGGCAGGAGAGGAAAATCAGCAAGTAAGAAAATAGATGGTTGAGACAGGTAGTGAAAAGCAAATGGGAAAAGTGCCAAAGGACAGTGGTGTGGATAAACAGAGTAGACAGACGGAGATGAAGCAGCAGGAGGAAGATACATGCGCACCTCTCCGAGCAGCTCCACGTGCAGGTCTTTGAGCGCCACTGTGCCATCCATTAGCTCCTCCTTCTCCAGCAGCAGCATGAACAGGCGTCCCTCCATGTCCCCCAGCAGGTAGCGTGAGCCGTTTGGGTCCACCCGGTTGTGGCAGACGATCGTACTTTGCTGTGATTTAAGTGTAGAAAGCCAACAGTCATCTTTCTCATTTTAATAAATTATACAAAACATGTTTGCTAATTAAACATAGTAAAAGCTTTCTTCGAGGTTCTTCAGGTGTTTCAAGAGATGAGGAGAAAAAAGGGAAAGCTAAAAAGATCACATGGCTTATTATGAGTAGATCACCTTTCTAAATGCTTAAAGAGGTTCTAGAACAATATTTTAACCATTACAAACTGTTCATTAGGGGCAGCAGTAGCTCAGGACGTACAGCGGGTTGTCTAGTAATCAGAAGGTTGTAGGTTTGATCCCGGCTCCTGCCAGGGAATGCTGCTGTTGTGTCTTGGGCAAGAAACGTAACCCGCCTTGCCTGCTGGTGGTGGTTGGAGAAACCAGTGGTACCTGTGTTTGGCAGTCTCACCTCCACCTGTGTGCTCCAGGGCAGCTCTGGCTACACTGTAGCTCATAATCACCCGCGTGTGAATGGGTGGATGACTGATTGTGGATTGAAGCGCTACACAAACAAAGGCCATTTACCATTCTATATGCCTCTATCTAGCATATTAAACTTTATGTGGGCTCAAAATGGCCCAGGTGCCCCAATAAATACTCAAGTAAAACCCCATAATAAAGCTCTACAGTGGAAAGGCTGATTTCCACCCCACACCCGCGTGTTGACTGGCCAGTTTACCCCAATGGCATTATGATGCTGCCTGAAGCTAGAATCTCTGTGGAAAACATCCAAATAACACAACAGGCAAGCTCCTGAGCTATCTGGGATTCAACCGTATATGTTTGACCCAGACAGTTAGCGTTCGCTTGGGTGGCGTTGTTCTTCAGTTAGCATTACCACCACTATCATTTACACAGCTAAGTTGGATTCAGCATGTACGTTTAAGGGTGTGTGTAAAGTGGGCTACAGCCACTATGATGTGTTATCGTACCTTTGCTCAGCACCAGAGATGCATGATGTAACGGTATACATCAGTAATGGTATACATCAGTATCGGCCAATGTTAATCATTCTTTAACACAGCGGCATCTGTGATAAGTAAAACTGGGCCAACATTAACTGATAGTCATTCCCATCTAGCTGCCGTGTGTGTGTGTGTGTGTGTGTGTGTGTGTGTGTGTGTGTGTGTGTGTGTGTGTGTGTGTGTGTGTGTGTGTGTGTGTGTGTGTGTGTGTGTGTGTGTGTGTGTGTGTGTGTGTGTGTGTGTGTGTAAAAAAGGGAAATGGTTATATTAACAATTGCTTCATCAAAAAAGTAACTGAGTAAGTGACTGAGTTACAAAACGATTTCCAGGAAAATTAACTTTGCATTAGTATTTTAAAAAAATATGCTAGAAAATTTGAATATCCTTTCAATAAAACTTCAGTCACTTACTATTTACTACAATACTAAAATATAGAATTATTAAATAGACTTGTAGATCAGGGCTTAACAATTCTAAGAATTGCAATTTTTCTAGAAGATATTGAGATTCAGTTCAAGTCACTATTCTCTTCAAATCAAGGTTCAACACATTATTCACAATATAGTACAATATATAATCATGTATAATCATATCAAATAAAATTATCATTATCTAGCACAGACAAACATACCTCTGTGGTCATTAATTACTAGTTTATATAGGAAAGCAGGTTTGAGATTTCTATATGCTGCATTTGACATGAAAAGCAGCCCATAATCAACAAGGTAAACGTGCTTTTGAATTCTAGACCCTGTTTGATGTGGTCCAGCATTCTCATTTCCATACTATGGTCAGTTCAGAGGAACCAAGTATCTCGGCAATCATGCCTCTCAGCTGTGGGGTAAAGCCAAAGCATCTGCAGAAAGTCCATGAAGGCACAATCAAGGAGGACACCAGAGGCTCCTTGCTGTTTGGACACACCGCTAACATCGTAAGCACCAAGCTGGTTTAGATCCCATGCTGCCAGAGTGATTTCTGCTGGTACTTCAGGCATTTTTAACATCTGTTACATGATGAGTAACCATGCCAATAAGAGAGCTGTTTACACTCAGAGGAGAAGCTGATTGAGCTGTACAATGCCCAACTAACGCCTGGAATAAATGACTGAGCACATCATGGATGATGACTATAAGGAGGAAAGGTGGTTGTGAATGTTGTTTCAATTTGAGTGGGTGGCTGAGTATAAATCACAGTGATAGTGGCAAATAATAGTGTTGGGACACATTTCCAAAGGGATTTGGTAAAAGAAAAATCAACAGCCGATAGATAGGATTATAATTCAACCTCTAAGATAGTAGATAGCCAATCTCAAGGCTGTGCTTCACATTTTAATTCATACTGCTCTGACAAAAACAAAATAACATACTTTATTAATGTAATTTCTCAGATCATGCCTTGTAGAAAAAGCATTTAAAGATGCAGACAAAAATCAAGATTTATCTAAGAAAGCAGCTTCTTCTGACATCATGGGTTTGAGGAAATGTGTAACAGCCCATCTTACAGGCATTTATCTTTTCTCTTTGATAAAGCGGATAGCAATAACAAGTCTGAAACAACAATTTTGGGGGCCAGCATGGGGGCATGTATTTGGCATGACTGTCCAGCAGGTTGCCATCAGAGTTAATATAAATCTTATTGTGCTCAGTGTGGACACCTAAAACCCGAAATTCAATTTAAAAAGGGGAAAATGACCCGAGATGGGATATGAAGACTGCTAAAGATTTTGGATCAATTCTATCTTTTATTTTAAGCACAAAAACTGTGAAGAGCGGACCATTAAAGGCCATAAATTAACTCATCACTGCCATCTAGAGGATTAACTTTGCAACAACAGCTGAGAATAAATAACCTATTATTCCTTTACTGAGCTCAGAATATTATGACTAATTGCTGTGATATGAACTTGACATTGATGCATCTGCTGATGCGTCAGAAACATGCCAACATTTGCCAGCCCTAATTAGACGATTGGCCAATTTCTGGTTTTAATTAAGCTTGTATTACATCCCTCCTGTGGTAGGATACCTACATATTGCATCAGCTAGTGATTTTGTTTTAGATGTCTTCAAGAAAATTGCAGGGCTGCCTAACCTACATGAAATGTAGGAGAACTTCTGATGCAAGTTTATAGAGCACAACTTACTTTATGAAAGCTTTATGGTTTTGCCATCAAACGGCTGCATTATCCAGAGATTTCTCCAAAAACATGATCAAACTGGACAAGGCTGCTATGAAAAATCTCAATAGCCACAGAATAAAGGCTGTCCCTGCTGGTGAAAACTGGAGACATGATTGAAACTGTTATTAAATTTATATAGCGTGACTCAGTTTGCTCTCCTTTTCCCTCAAATTAGGATGTTGTTATTGTCACTGTCAGCTGTACAAGCGGAATCAATTTTTCACTTGACTGAGCCTTCACAAAACACTTCTTGAGGAATTTATCTGGATTGTTTTTGTTTAAAAGCTCAATAATTCCACAAACTTCTGCCTGTCTTCTCAGCCAGACTGGGATAGTCTATAATCAGCCCCAAGGATCACTACATGTGGGTCGAAGTATAGTACTGGATGCTGTCCCATCATATAATTATAATTTAATGCACTTAAGGGATAAAATATCCCTGCATATAATCTATATTGGTAGTGCAGAGAGCAGCCACTGGGCCATGCGTGGCTCTTGGAGTGATTTGTGTGGCCACAACTGAAATTCAAACTTTTTTTGCTGTCCTTAATTTTTTCCAGAATTACATTTTTTTAGCATGCGAGTGCTTTAAACTTGATCATTTTGGCTAATGTGGCCAAATGTTTGGACAACAAGGGGTCTGGAGCCTCACAAACACAAATATTAAAATAATGCTAATGATAAATAAAATACTTTTAACAAAAAACAAAGTTATTAATAAATCGTCCAATTGCAAATAAATGAGTGCAACTGTGGTGCTAAACAACCCACATCACTGATTCCATTTAATCATATTTAAATATAAATAGTTAATTTAGAAAACATTCAGATCAATCACTGAAAAGACAGTGAAGCACTTTTAGAATGCAAAAAATAAATATCCTTCTAGTCATTTATTTGAACTCACCCATCAAACTCTGCGCTGATGTAGCTACGAGCTAACCGAAGCTAACGGAGGATGGCGAGTAATTTTATCCAGAAAACCGCGGCTGAGTGACTTTGCTACCCTCTGCCTAGGCTGTAACACTTGAGGCCAAGGCTGAGGCCTTCCCTGGAGCAAGCAGGAAGCAGCGCTGATGATGACTCATCTGCTACCTGTCAGGCAAAAGGACATGCCCTAAATATTCATAATTTCAAGCTTCTATTAAATCCAAGATGAATTACAAAAATAAAGAAAGAAAGAAATCACTTGACCTAATTGACCAACTTAAACTTGACAAAAGCTGGTTAATTATTCATTTTAGTAGGAATGGGCCATGTGGTTTTTAAAACATAAACATTTAAAGTAGTTTTATGTTGTTCTTATTCATTCTCCAAGCAATACAACACAGAAATTCTCATGAAATTAATAAAGATGAAGATATTTAAATAAAAGTCAAGCTAAATGTGATGAAAACACTAAATTATATTTTGAAATAGTGAAAAATGTAAAAAAAAAAGAAATAACATTTCTTCCATTCCTGATTCCTGATTCATGTTTTTCATTTTCTCATAGAAGTGAAGTTTTGCTTCAGTCAGGATAACTGCAGGTAAAATGATGCGCTGCTGCGTTTTTATCTAAATTAATAAATAACTTGTAGGTTTATTCTTTCTCTCTGCCTCTGGTTGAGCGACGTTCTGATCAGCGGGTCCAGCGTTATTAGAGGTCAGACCTGCGGCGCGCACCGGCTACGCAGAGAGAGAGAGATGGAAAGAGAGGAGCTGCACAACGTCGAGTGTTATTAATGGGAGAAACTGCTGCGGAGCTGCGGATGGAAATTTGTTCTAACTAAATCACTGGGGATGTCCAACATTTTCTAAGTCAGTGTATTTAAAAGAGCGGCATTTAAGGAAATTTGTGTTAAGGAGCTATTAACACAGATGGGCCTTTACTGTCGCCAGAATTATTTACTGAGGAGGTTTAGCTGTTAGACGTCAGCTCCTGAAACCCAAATTTGGTCTGTATCACAAACATTACCGGATCTGCACCTGAATCCATGCGCTTTGCACTGCAGCAGCAGCAGCCTCTGATCCAAAACTGAAGCAGCTTGAAATAATTCATGCAGTTGCGGTTGGTCTAAAAAGATAAGTGACAATATGATATCAACCACACATTACAGTGCATTATTTTATTTGCATATTCATCAACATAACACATCCTAGCCCAATGTTTATTTTGTTTGTTTTTTTTACTGGGGCAACTGCTGTCATCATCGGAGTAATGGAATATTAAATTTTACGCATAACCCCTGTAATACTCTCACGGACCACTAGGGGTACGCGGGCCCCTGGTTGGGAATCACTGCCCTCGGGGATGAGGGGAACTGCAATTTTTGTCACTTCCATGTTGGCTTCACCTTTGGCAGGCAGAGTTTGCCTCTCAACATATGAACCAGAACATTTGCAAGACATCCTAAAAAATGCAGTAGAACGGATGCTAATGGGAACCGTAACACTTAAAAGCAAATAAAGGAATTAAAATTGACTATGTGAGCTGCTGAGTGCTTCTCTAAATGTCAGGCGAGTGCGAGCTCTGAAAGTTTGGCATTGCATGAATGAACCTTGAAGAGGCACAAATCCCTCACCTCCAGCTCCCACTGATAAGCTACTTAGCAGCAAGGCCGAAGGCTTCAACTCAAAGACACCAGGGAATAACAGCCACAGAACTCCAAATGAGGAGCTTCTGCATCAGGAATTTAAATGCTCTTTCCAAAATTTATGAAACACTGGAACTGCAAGAGACAAAAAGAACATCCTCTAATTATAGAGGCAAGCGGCTGATGAAGAGCTCCTTTGGGCATTGAGGATCTGAAAAACTACAAACTGTGAGTTCATCATGAGAACACCAAAACATTACAGGAAAGTGTAGTTGTCAGTAATAAACCTGCTTCTACAAGAGTCCTGGCAAATGAACTCGCTCATTTAAGATCCGCCAAAAGACCCCCCAACAAATTACAGTGAGTACAGAAAGTATTCAGACCCCCGTCAACTTTTCATCCTGTTATGCAGCCGTTTGCTAAAATTTAATTTATTTTTCCTAATTATTGTAAACACAGCACCCCATATTGACAGAAAATCAAAGACTTTTAGAAATTTCTGCAGATTTATTAAAAAAGAGAAACAGAAATAACATGTTCCTGAGCATTCAGATACTTTGCTCAGTACTTAGAAGCATATACGTATATGTATTTAGTTTCTAAAAGGGGTGTAAATCACTAGTTTGATCATAATACAATATTACATGGATAGTGAATTCTGTTTATATCTTTTATGGACAGGATTTGGTGGCCTAAGAATCGGGTCTCTGCTTTTTGCAGATTATGTGGTCCTACTGGATCCATCAGAACGTGATCTCCGGCTCTCCTTCAAGCGGTTCGCAACCGAGTGTGAAGCAGCTGAGATGGGAATCTGCTCCTCTAAATCCGAGACCATTGTCTTGAGTCAGAAAAGGGTAGAATGCCTTCTCCAGGTCAGGGACGAGGTCCTGCCCCATGTGGATTAGTTTAAGTATCTCAGGGTCTTGTTCATGAGTGAGGGAAAAATGAAGCGTGAGATCGACAGACTGTTGCTGCATCTGCAGTGATGCGGGCGTTGTACCGATCTGTCGTGGTGAGCCGGAAGGTTTACCGATTTACCGATCCATCTACGTTACTTTCCTCAGCTATGGTCACAGGCTTTGGGTAGTGACCGAAACGAGATCACAGATAAAAGCGGCTCAAATGAGTTTTCTCTCTGGGATTTCCCTTGGGGATGGGGTGAGAAGCTTGGTCATCCGGGAGAAGCTCTGAACAGATCCGCTGCTCCTCCACATGGAGAGGAGCCAGTTGAGGTGGCTAGGGCATCTGGTCAGGACGCCCCCTGGACGCCTTCCTGGTGAGGTTTTCCAGGCACGTCCAACTGGGAGGAGACCCAAGGGAAAACCCAGGACACACTGGAGAGACTAAGTTTTTCAGCTGGCCAGGGAACGTCTTGGCATTCCCCTGAAGGAGATAGCCCAAGTGGCTGGAGAGAGGGAAGTCTGGGCCTCTTGACTTAGGCTGCTGCCCCTGCAACCCAACTCCCGATGGGCGGAAGAAAATGGATGGATGGGTGAACCTTCGTAGAAAAATTTGTATTCTAATATTTAGCAGCAAGATGAGCATTACACGAACCCTCAAAAATGATCTGAGGTGTTTTTTTATGTTTTATTAAGGAGGAGGACCTGACTCAGAATAAGTGGCTGAAAATAAATGAATAAATGGATGGATGGATGGATGGATGGATGGAGGGTGGGTGGGTGAATGGATGGATGAATGGATGGATGGATGGATGGATGGATGGAGGGTGGGTGGATGGATGGATGGATGGATGAGTGGGTGGGTGAATGGATGGATGGATGGATGGATGGATGGATGGTGGTTCTTTATTTGCCTACACTGTTGACATCTCTAATTCATTCCCAAAACCATTTTGATTTCATTTAGAATCCACAGCTCAATGTGAATCAAGTGATTGAACACAATAATTTCTTCTCACAGCTCGCCATGATGCCAGTAGCTTCTTCATTTGAAGAGACACGTTGCAATTTCCTCATATTGTAAATCATTTTCTTGAGCCATTTACAGGGTTAATGAAAGGCCAGCCAGCCCCTATCGCCCCCTGTGGCCAGAATATTGTTGCCGGTCTGGTCTGTTGGGAAGTTGAGCTGGCGCTGCAGTCTGTTTCCAGCACGTTTCAGATCATGAACACAGCTGATTTGTTTAGTTTAGTGATGAATCACTCCTGTAGACACTAATGAGGCTGGGGAGACAGCTCAGCTGTTAGATTAAGGTGTTAAAAAGACCAACGCGCAGCGAGGAGAAGTTTTGCTTTTGGTTCTACAAACTGACACTAGGGGGTGCTAAAAGCAAGCCATAACGATGTGCAGGAACAGGTGGAAAGCAGCATGTCAGCGGAACTTCAAGAGAAAGCAATTTTCAAAATAAAAGTTTGATAATTCTGTATTCTATCATTTTTTTCTATTTGGATTGATAAACATAATCAATGTTGACGATATATTGATGTATTGTTTCATTTCTAGTTTCTAACACAATGCCAACAAGCTACAAATCTAAGGCTCAAATTCTTATGTTTGTCCAAATGTTGCAACCCCAATCCTTCTGACTTTTTTCTCTCTGCCAACAACAAACTAGACTTTCAGTTTAATGCACGGAAATGACTTTTTGTTTTTACTGAAACATAAATGTGTGCTTGCTGGGATGTAATGACATGTAGAAAATGATGGTGTAGACCTGTATGAAGAACACGGACTATTACTGAAGCTTCATTTGTGGCTGAGCTAATGATCTGTCATGCTGTTCGTGTTACCTCCAGTCCGCAGGCAGAGAAACATCGTTCTCAACAGTCTCATCATGCTTTTGTCATTTTCTCCTCTTATTTTAGCGGGTGTTATGAAACTCAAATGAAATCATTGCGAAACTGCTTTTTCAGAGGAGGAACAACAACAAGCAGCCGTATAATGAACTGCAATCCCCAATCCTAGCTATTCTTGTTTTTTACCTGGTTTCGATGGTTTTACCTTAATAGTGGGCGGTGCGATGGCCAGGTATTTATCTCCATTGTGGTAGGTGATGGACTCCTGTCCTATGATTATAGCACCACCAAATGGCTCTGGCACTAAAATACAAGCAGAAAAGAGAGGGAAGAAAAAAAAAAGACAATTTAACTTGTATTATTATAAATACATAATTTACATGCATTGCAAATTTATGAATAAACTGCTTTAAAAGAGTTGCACACAACAATAAAAACCAATACGTCTAGATTTGTAAATTATAAATATAATAACTAGGAGTGGGACTCGATTAAAAAATTATCTAATTAATTTGAGGCTTTGTAATTATTCAATCTTAATTAATCTCATTTTAATCGTTCAGGAAAATTTGCCACCAAACTATTTTTTATAAAAAAATAATGAGGCAGAGAATCAAACATTAGACATGGATATTATTTTTGTAAACTCAAGCTCTTAATTTCTGATAAAAACAATGATTTTTAATTATTCAAATGTCACCGTGTTAAAAGAAACAAACCCCAATCAACTAAAATTCATAATTGCAAATAAAAACACCTGCAAATGGTTCCTGAGCCTTTAGTCTCTCGGTTTAGATGAATTACTGCAATAAATGGACTTTTGCACCATATTCTAATTTTTTCTGTTTCACATTTAGGTATAATTGGGTGCTTTTATTAGCATTTCTACTACTCATAATCTAGTAAAAGCATATATTATCTATTATATTAACAAATCTGATGGAGGACTTAACCCTTTGATGCATAATGGTCACTACAGTGGACAGGTACTTAAAATTGTTATTTAATTATTTTTGCTATTAAGCACAGCTGTTGAAGACTTTATTGCATTTGAGCCCCTCCATTTGTACTTCAGTAAGTCAAGCCGACATATTTCATGTTCAGATTGCACGCTGTCCACTGTGGTGGACATGTAATAAATTATTTGTAAATTAAATTTTACAAAAAATATGTAAATATGAAATTTGTTTCATTCACACCTAAAGATGAATGAAAAAAATTGTTTAAAAAATCATGGTTGAAGATTTCATAATGCATGCATCAAAGGGTTAAATTTACTAACTTGGGTCAGACCCAGACAAGGAAGTGCTGAAGCTGGGTAGACACAGTTAGGAATTAATGATCTAATGCCATTCCTTAGATGGGAAGTCCCGCTCTCACATCAGGAAGGGTATAGCTGCAGACCTGCAGATTCATGCCTGCAGCAGCGAATCTGTAGGTCTCCAGGTCTGCGACCTGATCACATCTTCTTGTTCCTCACTGGCCCTGCATGTAAACATTCGCTTCTTTAGCTTCGATCAGCTGACGACCGCTTTGACACACTTAGCGGCTGAATTATAGTAATGTACGAAACCCGTAGACAGTCACTCTTCTCAGAAAAAGAGAGTAAACAAACAGAATTGTTTAGAAAATTATAAGAAAGTTTTAGGTGTGTTTCTGTTGCTTTAAGACACGTTGTTTGACTGTTTAGAGTAGTGAGAACACAGAGGATTTTCCCAGCTGTTCGTCTTTCTGTCAGATGATGTCACTGTTGCACAAATGTTATTATATTAAGAATTTAGCTCAGCTTAGCTTGACTACAAATCTTCAGGTGCACAGATCATCATTTGCATATTTTTACTGTGCAGGCATCGGAACGAGCCACTGCACCATGAGAACAAACATCTCAGCTCTGAAGCCGATCTTCATCTGTGTACGTCACACGTCACGTGATCAGGAAGCAGAAAATCCATGTGTTAGGAGATCGTTTTGGGTCGTTGCTGTAAAAAAGTGAGGTGCGAACCGGAAAAGCTTCCGCCGATCACAATTCAACAACGGATTATGAAAGAACGGATAATGTTTGAAACGCGTCTACTCTTTGTTTAGGTTGTTTTGGCGTCAACATAATCCTAGCGCGCAACGTTCAGTGACTCTTAATAAAAAATAGTAAAAACGGTGAGAAACACTAGCAGTGCAGGGCTTTTCTGATCAGGAAACGGCTGGCAGTGAATGAGTTAAATGCAAAAAAAATTTTAATGTGTCATTTTTTTCTAATTAATCAGAATTAACGCGTTAGTCCCACCCCAGATATGCGCAGACGTTTTAACTCAAGAGTTTACGGAGTTTATTTTTTGTTGTTTTACTAAATTGATTAGCACGGATTTACCTGGGATAACCATTGATGCCTCAGCTTCCACGTTCTCCTGTTTCCAGGGGCCCTTGTTGAACTCCTTCTCTCTCAGGGAAACCTCATAGGTCTTTACATGACGTCCTTGAGGGTCCTATGATATACAGCACACGTATTACAATCTGTTGCCTAAGTTAGAGCCAATAATAAACACTCATCATAAATGTTCAGTTCGCAATCTGATGAAATTTCACCAGTTATTCTAAATACTATATATTTTTTTATTTAAACAGGTGCAAGGTTTCCTCTAGGATTTTTTGACACTGTGGTGGTGGGCTGTCGGTCGGGGGGTGGGCAGGCAGAGACGTACGGAGACATTCTAAAACATGAGACTGTATATTTTCTGGTGAACAATCCTGCAGGAGTGAGTAAGAAAGCTTATTGTTTAATTAAATATAAAAAATATATATTTCACTTGAAATAAATTGTAATGCTTGATTTCCACCTTGATTGTTGTGGCTCAGCCATGGGCGGAACTTAGTGATTTCTGTCCATTTTGGGTCCCAGCCAGATTCTCTGTTTACTTTTTTCTTCCCTCTCACTGCTTCCCTGCTGCTCTCTCCCTCATCATACTCACTTATGCATGCTCAGCCTCTTCACTCGTCTCCTTCACTCACCTCCTCCACTGTATTTGTCTAATATATATTGGTGACATGTTAGATTTGTTTCAATCCCCAATATGAACGTTGGGAATATTACACGTATCACCAGGGGTTAATTTGAGCCGATTCTTGCTGGAACAAGATCCAGGAACTGTCTTATTTTGAAAGGACCGTTCCAGCAACTGCCTGCTATAGGTTCCGGCAACTCATGCGACCAGCTCGTAATACGCAGGGTTTGAATTACGGGTGAGTTAAAGGGAGCCCGGCTCACCCGAAAGGGTGACAGGCTCCCTTGGAAGCTCTCAGCTTACACACCCAGAGGGAGCCCAAAAAGCTCCTGATTCTACTTACATTACATTATTTACACGGACTCTCCAGGGATTCTTTTGAGCTGAGAGCCGCAGAGCTCTGATCGCTGATGCGCCTCAGAAGATGCATACTGAGCGCGGCCGGTGTCGCTACCTCAAAAAACATATAACACGCCATCGTTTATGTTGGCTCATATCCTTTCAGGCTTTCTGTCTTTTATTTGTGCCTGATGCTTTTTGCTGCTGCGGAGTGGAGCGCATCACCTGTTTTGTCCTCCGGTGACTTCACCTCACTGGTGTAGCCGGCGCGCAGCAAGCTTTCTGCTATTTTTGCGCTCAGAAGAAAATTTTTAACTGCAGTTTAAAGTTTTGCTATATTTAAATTCATTTTAAACTGTCATTACAGTTAGTATACATGTGCAAATATAGACTTAAATATGTCTCGTATTTACATTGTTTTAATGTATATCTCAAAACGCCAAAATCCCTTAAGCGCCTCGTGATTTTTATCTTGAGAGGCGCTATAGAAATGATATTTTCTTCTTCTCCTTCTTCAAAATTTATTCTGAAGGTACGTTGCTTTAAATATATATATTTTTAACTTTATGAAGGTGTGGTGAATTTAATTTTGACGTGGCGCTCCGTCACAACAAAATACACATAGCGAAAACCCTGAGGTGAAATTAAAATCTCTTCTATGTCCCAGTCGTACAAAATTATAAGAATAGTGTGATTTTTACAGCCACTGTCTAAGTCTACCCAACAGCACCTGATAGATGAAGCAGACAGTTGGAGCCTGGCAGCCATACAGGAAGTGAACATCAATGACTTGCAGCTCCTCCAGCCTGATGTTAAACGCCTTGAGCTCACGGTTGTCCCGGTCCAGTGGGATCACCTTGAACAGTCCATCGTACAACCTCAGACCAATCATGCGACACTCTGGGTCTACAATTCCAATAATCCCCGTCTCTGATGGACGTCCAATACGATCCTGAAAAATGGGTTTAGAAAAAGTTTGGGTACGCTTTGGATGAACCCACTCCTGGAACGTCAGCGTGTGTTTACTCCATTACGAGAAAATAGCTTCACCTACCTGGACATTACCATGGGCACGGGTGATGATGTCAATGCTGTCCCCATTCTGCTTGTATTCAAGGATGCAGGCATTGTATTTGGATGTGAGAATGAACAACAGGTCTTTACTCTCACCCTGGGAAAAAAATGAATAAAAACGTTATTTTGTGATCAGATTCAATGCAAAGTGCAGCCCCTGGCAGTCTCTAAATTTGTTTGATATCCAAATGTAACTTCTGTGGTTATCACTGACAAATGCCAGGTTCTGTCAAGTCTGAGCTGTTGATGGCATCATGGTGCAGCCTGGACGTAAAGGTAAGAGAGTAATGTCTTTGGAGGCAAAAGCAGAGAGCTAAAGCCAGAGTGAACAACAGTGTGGCCTACACTTGTTTCAAGAAGCTGAAGGAGGCTTTGAAATCATGAATTGATGATGACCTGGCTTTGTTGCTACTGGAGAACTAGTAGTATTTTTTTGCCCAACAGCGTGGATCTTTTTACTTAGGGCCTTATTTAGTATCACTGGCTCGTGTTAGCACTACCTATGGCAGGCTGTAGCAAAGTTGTTTACAACTGTTGAAATTCCACTTTCAACCGGTAGGGGAGAGGTGGAAACCTTTTATGTGTTGCTTTAATTAAATACAAATGTGTCCAGCACTTCTTATGTTAGCAACCTATTGATGGTGAAATACTGACATAAATTCTCATCAAACCAATTTAAGGATGCCAGAGGAACATACATTTGTAAACAGTTCTCTAGTTTTAAGTGTGGGAAAGGGATGGAATGTGGGTTATAGGGGTCATTTTAATCTGTTAAGCACTTTGTGTTGCTTGCTTTGCATGAAAAGTGCTATATAAATAAAGTTTGATTTGATTTTGATTAAACAACCACACTCAAAATGCTACCTTAGGTCGAAAGAGCTCCATGACAGCAATTTTGCCATACATGCCAACTTCTTTTACTGGCCTCAGCCCCTCCGCTGTGACCACATAAATCTCCAAACGTGTGTTTTTGGCTATGAGCAGATTGAGATCCTCTGCTGAAGTGAAATGACCTGAAAGACAAAGATGCATTTATTATGTTTCAATTATTTGCAATGTGTATAGATGGGGTCTAGAAGAGCTGAATAAATGTAGTATGGTTTGAAGTCTCTTAGACACCCAGGTAAGGGATTCAAATGCCATTAAAATGTGTTACAATTACAGCTTCAACAAATATCATTATCTATACTATAGTTTAATCATTCTTAAAAAATAAAAGGATTTACCCCACCTCAAAATGTACTCTTAAAAACTTTTATTCACACAGATGTATATATTTAAAAGCTACTATCCAACTGATTATAACATACAATAATTAACAAAATACAGACTCTGGAGCCACGTTTGTCTAAATGCCTCTCACGTTCAAAACTATAAACATTTAAATCACGAGAATGTAATCATGTTTTAAACACACACGTCTGTACACAAACGTAATCCACGGGTTTAACAATGAAGTCAGAGGGCTGCACCAGCTCACAATCGTAATCTATTAACCAAGTGAACAGAGACGGCTTATTTTAAATCCATTTTTACACGACTTATGCGTGTGATCGGTTTGTATGAACGAGGCAACGCACTTCATCTGGCTCCTTTAAGGCTCGAAAACTGTTATTGTTACATTCAGTTGAATAGCCAATGCATTGTGCAGCTATTTTAGGAACGCTAGGGCAGGATCTGAACATGTTTAAACCACGAACTGCATGTCTGTCTAAGAAATAAACATAAATCTAAAGAAAAACAACAGCTAGCTGCTACTTAAGGCCCTTGTGAGGCGTTCGGGCTGCAGCGCGGGAGCTCATATTGCTGTTATCCATAACTGCACAAAACAGCGAGTATTTACCTGTGATGCAGGCGTTTACTGCCGTAGGTTTCTGCGCTGTTACCACGTAGTTGTAAGACATTTTGACAACGAAAAACGACAAACACAAGAGAAGTGTTTTAATCTTACACGAGTGCCAAAATCATTGATAATAAAACTCCCGGAAGTAGTTAGCCAAGTAAGCAAGTAGTGGTGTTGAGTTGGAGCGCGGCGCGTCCCCTTCTGGTAGGGAGTGCACTGCGCAGGGAATTTGTGTAGTCTGGCAAACTGCTGTCTTGACTCACCAGAAAGATTTATTTCTACCCCTGATTTAATTATTTAGGACTTTACAACCTGCGACTTAGTTTCGTTGATTATGGTGTGATTTTAGTTTTTGACAAGAATAGGTTATTTGTTAAAGGTAAATTCCAATAATGAGATGAGCACAGGAAATAGCAACATGAAGGTAACAGTTAAGTTGATTTGCATAAATTGCTGTAAAAGTTATGTTTTTAAATCATTTAATTTTAATCTGTTTCATTTTATTATCAAAATAGCACACAATTCTTAAGGGGAAAAATCTAATCTTTTTTGTATAGTAAGCACAATTTTTTTTTTATTAAGCATGTTTTGTTGCCTTGAAATAATGGGATTTTTGCGCCCTCTGCTGGCAAACAAAATAGAACAACACTGGTTTTCAACAGCATTTAGAAAAGAAGAGAAGATGGAGAGTTTCTGCTCTCCAGTGCCTGAAAGGTGGTACCACACATTTGTTATTTCAAGCCACATGTGTCAGATAAAACAGATGTGGCCCGCAAAGCATTTTTATGTGGCCCGCTTGATAAATATCACAAACATATTAAAACTGACCTGCTGGCCAATTTTGTCAGAAAGACTACAACTCCCATGATGCTTTGAGGCGTCTCAGAGTTCCTGCTGATCTAAACATTGAAAGAACCATTTAATTTTCTGTTCCTCACTTCTGATTACCTTCAGTGGTGTCTGTTTGTTGCAACCAGGTACAAAAACGAACTTGTTTTTTATTTGACCTTTTTTCTGTCCTGTCTGTTTATTATCTTCCTGCATCTCCTCTCAATCCTGAGACTGTCTCCACATTTTCAGTACAAAATAAAATATACAGACAGCAAGAAGGTTTCGCCATGGGAAGAAGAAGAAGAAGAAGAAGAAGAAGAAGAAAATATCATTTCTATAGCGCCTCTCAAGATAAAAATCACGAGGTGCTTCACAAAAACAAAAACAAAAAATATAAAAAGCATTTAGAAAATGTTTAAAAATATATTTAAAATGAGCAAAAATAAGCAATTGCGATTTAAAAGAAAAAAAGAGACCCGCTCTCAGCCATAATGAGTGAATTCTTCATGGAGGATTTGGAAGAAAAGGCCATTAACACAGCACCTGCACACATCAGACCCATGTTCTGGAGAAGATACGTGGACGACATCTTGGAAATAATAAAAACTGGACACACACAACAACTCACAGACCACCTGAACACGGTCGACAACACAGGAAACATAAAATTCACACATGAAGAGGAAACAAACAAAACAATAGCGTTTTTGGACATGAACATTCACCACACAGACGACGGCAGCATAAAAATCACTATATACAGAAAACCCACACATACAGACCAATATCTGCTTTGGACATCTGAACACCCCACAGCACACAAACTATCAGTAGTCAGAACATTATACAAACGAACTAGCTTCATTACAGATGAAACAGACCGCAAACAGGAATAAGAACACATTAAACAAGCACTAACCCTCTGTCAGTATCCAAAATGGGCCATAGAAAAAGGAAAACAACAAGTCAAAGAAAATTAAAAAAAAACAGGGATACCAAAAAAAGAAAACAAAAACAAAGACCAGACCACGTGCACATGGACACCATCATAATTCCATATATCTGGGGAGTCACAGAACGTATACAAAGGGCCATGAAAAAACAACAAATCAACACAACCGTCAAACCTCACATGAAACTCAGACAGCTACTGTCCCCAAGGCCAAAACAGAACCAGACAAGAAATGTAATGTAATCTACGAAATACCCTGCATGTCGTGCAATAAAACATACATAGGGGAAACCGGCAGAACATATGACACAAGAAGAAAAGAGCACCTGAAGGAATGCGAGAAGGAAACAACAGAAAGACTCACAAGGACAACAAAGAAAAAAGCTGAGGAGCAAACCCTCAAGTCAGCCATCTCAGATCATTGCTAACGAAATAATCACATCATGGACTGGGATCAAGGGAAAATTATCAACACGGAGAACAACCGATTCAAACGGTGGGTCAAGGAGGCTATAGAAATAAGGAAACGGAAACATTCAATACAATTCAATGATACTTTATTAATCCCAGAGGGAAATTAGAGTTATTAATCCCAGAGGGAAATATGAACAGAGACGAGGGGGGCCTATCAGCTGTCTCGCACCTGGGATTCCCTTCTCCAAAGACCAGACTGCGGAGGTGGGCTTGACCGACCCGGCGGATCTGACAGATCCGGGTTGGTCATGCCCACCAGAAGAACAGCTGATAAAGACGCGTCACACAAACACCCATGACACTTCTGAAGAAGACCGCAGATGACGGTCGAAACGTCGTCGTCTTCCTCCGCTTATCCGGGTCCGGGTCACGGGGGCAGCATCCCAACTAGGGAGCCCGGCCACCACCACCAGCTCCTCCGGCAGGACTCCAAGGCATTCCTGGACCAGATTGGAGATGTAATCTCTCCAACGTGTCCTGGGTCGACCCGGGGGCCTCCTGCCGGCAGGACATGCCCGAAACACCTCCCCGGGGAGGCGTCCAGGAGGCATCCTGACCAGATGCCCAAACCACCTCAACTGACTCCTTTCGATCCGGAGGAGCAGCGGTTCTACTCCGAGTCCCTCCCGAATGTCCGAGCTCCTCACTCTATCTCTAAGGCTGAGCCCGGCCACCCTACGGAGGAAACTCATTTCGGCCGCTTGTATCCGCGATCTCGTTCTTTCGGTCATTACCCAAAGCTTATGACCATTGGTGAGGATTGGGACGTAGATTGACCGGTCAATCGAGAGCCTAGCTTTCTAGCTCAGCTCCCTCTTCACCATGACAGATCGGCTCTGTGTCCGCATCACTGCAGACGCCGAACCAATCCGCCTGTCGATCTCCCGATCTCCCGATCCCTCCTACCCTCACTCGTGAACAAGACCCCGAGATACTTAAACTCCTCCACTTGAGGTAGGACCTCTCCCCCGACCCGGAGTTGGCAAGCCACCCTTTTCTGGTCGAGAACCATGGTCTCAGATTTGGATGTACTGATCCTCATCCCAGCCACTTCACACTCGGCCGTGAACCTACCCAGCAAGAGCTGAAGGTCAGAGCTGGATGAAGCTAGGAGGACCACATCATCCGCAAAAAGCAGAGACGAGATTCTCCTGCCACCAAACTCGACACACTCCACACCACGGCTGCGCCTGGAAATTCTGTCCATAAAGGTAATGAACAGAAACGGTGACAAAGGGCAGCCCTGGCAGAGTCCAAACCTCATCGGGAACAGGTTCGACTTACTACCGGCTATGCGGTCCAAACTCATGCTCCTCTGGTAAAGGGACTGAATGGCCCTTAACAGAAAGCCACCCACCCCATCCTCCTGGAGTGTCCCCCACAGGGTGCCCCTGGGGACACGGTCATAAGCCTTCTCCAAATCCACAAAACACATGTGGATTGGTTGGGCAAACTCCTATGCCCTTCCATCACCCTTGCAAGGGTATAGAGCTGGTCCACAGTTCCACGGCCAGGACGAAAACCGCATTGCTCCTCCTCAATCTGAGATTGAACCACAGATGTAATTTTCACTTTAGAAGTGGGGGGACACGGGGGGGTCTTTACAGTATGCTCTAATGGGAAACAGGCTTCAACACAAACGGTTGTTTTCCGCTTGGTCCTAGAGCTCAACCACTGTCAATTTAATAAAGTGTAATATTGTTTTTGGATGGTAAAAAGTGCAGGGGTCAAAAATTGACTTTGGAAAAAGTGGGGGGGACATGTACCCCCCCCCCCCCCCCCCCCAAAAAAAAAATTACATCCATGGATTGAACTATCGATTGGACCCTCCTCTCCAGTACCTTGGAGTAGACCTTTCCAGGGAGGCTGAGGAGTGTGATCCCTCTATAGTTGGAACACACCCTCAGGTCACCCGTCTTAAAGATGGGGACCACCACTCCGGTCTGCCACTCCACAGGAACTGCCCCGATGACCACGCAATGTTGCAGAGACGTGTCAACCATGACAGCCTTATAACATCCATAGCCTTGAGATACCCAGGACGAATCTCATCCGTCCCCGGTGCTCCACTGCTGTGTAGTTGTTTGACTACCTCAGCAACTTTTTTTTTTTTTTTTTTTTTTTTTTTTTTACCGTGTCCTGTCTGGCTGTGAAGCAAGCAGAATTGATGTCTGAATGCTGGTGACAAGCCTTACAGATTTACTCTCAGGTGGAGCATCAAAGCCTCTGCTTTTAATGTCACGCCTGATACTTAAAACTTTACTGTTATTGTTGTTGAATGCTTTGTAATTCCAACCAGACACGGAGACAGAGGTGAAAGAGAAAGGAAAAGAAAAGGTGGGGAGAGAGGAGGAGGAGGGGAGGGGCCTTCTAGACCTGCAGAAAAAGACAAAAAAAAAGCAAAAGGACAAAAAATAAAAGGGACACAACAACAATACAACAAGATCTAGCTATCACTGCATCAACTTGATGAAAAAATATATAATCAACATTGCTTAACTGAAGAATCACGATAATAAATCACAGTGCATTAAGTGCCCACCATAGTCTTAAGACCTGTGTTTAACGTGCCCAAGTCCATACTTTTGAGAGCACCATGTGAGCACCTGTGTGTGTACACGCACTTGTTTATGTAAGGTTTCTCTATAGGAGCGTCCAACAGAGAGTGTGAGGGACCACAGATCCGACCCCCAAAGATGCGCAGGAGACGGGGGGAGCTCCATGTCCCAGAGATCCAGGCGCTGCCCCAGAACACAGGAACCCCAAGGAGACTGCAACCAGAAAGCCCCCCCCCCCCCCCCCCCCCCCGAGAGGCACAGAGGATTGCCCCGGGGGGCCACAACCAGCAGCCGGCAGAGTCCCGGGAGACATCAGCGGCAAGCCCACAGGCCCGCCCGCAGCCTCCCACCCCCTAGCCGGCC